CAGGAGTGGAATTGCTGGGTCAAAAGGTGAGAGCAGTTTAAATTTTGAAAACTGCTTTCTAATCAGCCTGTGAAAAAGCAGTACTCCAAGTTATATTTACTACACTGGGTTGGAGTTATTTAAAAAAATGTTTTGCCAGTCTGATGGATGGGAAAACTACCAGAGTTGTGTATTTTAAAAAACAGGTTTATTGAACTTTAATCCTAATACCATAAAATTTATCCATTATAAGTGGGCAGTTCTTTGACTGTTTATTTTTTTAGAGTTGTGCAGCCATCACCATAATTCAGTTTTAGAACATTTCTATCACCCCAAGAAATTTCGTTGTGCTTTTTAGCATTTAATCCCTGCTCCCACCCCTCGGCATAGGCATCCACCAACCTGTTTTCTGTCTCCATAAACGTGTGTTTTCTAGATATTTCCTAGAAGTGGAATCAGTCTTGGTGTCTGGCTTCTTTCACACTGGGTTTTGAGGTTCTTCCATGTTGCACCATTTATCATTTGTCCCCTTTTTATTGCTAAATAGTATTCCACTGTATGGATGAATCACATTTTATTTATTCTTTCACCAGTTGAAGGACATTTTGTTTCCAGTTTTTGGCTTATATGAATATTTATATGTGTGGACCTGTGGCTTTTTTTTTTTTTTTTTTTTTGACTTGTGTTTTTATTTTTCATGGTAAGGTTCCTTGGAGCAGAATTGCTATTTTGTATGATAAGCTTATATCTAACTTTTTAAGAAACTGTCGAATTGTTTTCCAAAGTGGCTGTACTGCTTAACACTCCCATCAACAATATGTGAGGGTCCCCGATTTTCTAGATCCTTGCTGATACTTGTCTGTTGTTTTTTTTTTTTATTATAGTCATCCTTGTGGGCATGAACTTGTATCTGATTTTGGTTTTAATATGCATTTTCCTAATGATTAGTGATATTGAGCATCTTTGCTTGTTCTTATTAGCCATTTATATATCTTCTTTAGTGAATTATTTATTCAAATTATTTGCCCATTTGAAAATTAGATTGTCGCTCAGTTGTAAGAGTTCATTATATTTTCTGGATATTTGGAGATGATTTCTGGATATTTCTCAATGGTGTCTTTTGAAGCATTAATGTTTTTCATTTTGATGAAGTCTAGTTAATATTTTTGTTCTTATGAATTTTACTTTAAAAAATATATATATCATTGATTTTTTTACAGAGAGTAAGGGAGAGGGACAGAGAGTTAGAAACATCGATGAGAGAGAATCATCGATCAGCTGCCTCTTGCACACCTCTTGCTGGGGATGTGCCTGCAACCAAGGTACATGCCCTTGACCGGAATTGAACCTGGTACTTTTCAGTACACAGGCCAACTATCTACTGAGCCAAACCAGTTAGGGCTGGATTGTACTTTTGATAGCGTATCTAAGAATTCTTTGTCTAGCCCAAGGTCATCATACTTGTTTTGGTGTGTTTATACCTGATGATTAGTGAGGTTCTTTTTATGTGTTTATTGGTGATTGGACTTCTTTAGAATTACCTGTGTTTACTTTGACACTTAAAAGATACAGCAAAAAAGGTGTCTAGAAGATGAAATAGTACCAGGAAAAAGTGTGCATTCCATTTTTATATATTTTCATTTTAAAATAGTCTATTTAAATTAGCATATCTGTCAAGGGCAAAGATGTCATCTGACAACAACTGGGAACTTAAAATGTATCCATTTGACCTCAATACCTGTTGTGAACTGTGTGTGCGGTCCCCCCCCCTCCCCGCCAATTCTTAGATTGAAACATTACTACGGTCTTTCCCCACAAGGGAAATAAATGTCCTTATTTAGCTTCTTGGCCATTGTTACATGTTGATTCCTTCCTCGGTATTGTTTTAAGTCCTTGTTATATTTTTCACAAAGTGAGGAGAGAATATAAAGAAACATATGTATATCAGAACATTTTTCTTATTTTTGACAGATCTGTTTAGCATTTGAAGTCATTGCATTGATTTCAGAGCTGGAATTTTAGGTAGTTACCTTGGAACTAACAACACTTGGGCAGTAATTTTTACAAAATCTATAACTCACCATTTATGAGCACTTTTAATTCATCTGGATCCATTAGGAAGTTTCTAAGTTTCAAGATGAACAATGAAAGGGCTGTCAGAGGCCTTTTTGAAGGTGTGAAGACCAGATATTACTGTGCTTGACCAGATCTCTCTGTGTTTGGTAATGTAACGAGGACCTGCATGATGGTGGCTGATTCCCCTCTACCATAACTTTACCAAGGAATTGGGGAGTCAGGCACCCCCTGCCCACATGGAAGGGGTGTTCTCCCTAAAATTAGCCCTGTGAGAAAGCATTTCCTATGGAGTTAAATAAAGTCAAATTATCACTTCCTTCAATTTAGCAATGTAAAAACTAAGTCAGCCACACTAGAAATTTTTAGTATAATCTAAAATAAAGTTTGTATTCTGAGAACATATTCTGATGCCCAACCCTGTCATCGCTTCTGCTGTAGTATATCCTGTCCTTTGGGGGCCCTGGGTTATCTGGTGTAAAATATGAAGGAGTCAGACTAGACTCGCCAGTCAGCAAATATCCACTTAACATCGGTTACATGCCAGGCACTGTTGGAGCCCTCCGGGGATGTCCGACTGACTGCCAGGGAGGCGGGAGAGGCTCCCGCCACCTCTGCTGCCCTCCCCAGTCATGAGCCCAGCTCAGGGCTTCTGGCTGAGTGGCACTCCCCACTGTGGGAGCCCCTGACCACCAGGGGGCAGCTCCTGCATTGAGCGTCTGCCCCTGGTGGTCAGTGTGCATCATTGCTACCGATCCTTTGGTTGATTTCCATATTACCTTATAGGATAAGATAATAGCTGTGTATTTGGAGAAAGTCATGGTGGCTTTTCTCCATTCTTGTTCAATGTAGAGTCTGGTCAGTGGTTTAGAAGGATCTGACTTTCAAATGTAAATTAGGGCACTGTATTAGTTTGTCAGGGCTGTCGTAACAAAATGCTGCACACTGGGTGGCTTAAACAACAGACTGATTTTCTTACAGTTTTGGGGGCTGGAAGTCCATGCTCAATGTGTCCACAGAGTAGTTTTCTTCAACTTCTTTCCTTAGCTTGTAGATGGCCACCTTCATGCTGTGTCCTTCCATGGTCTTTTCATTACTTTTTCCAAGACCGCAGTACAGTTTCAATATAAGAATGGGGGAGGGGCACACAGTTCACAACAGGTACTGAGGTCAAATGGACACATTTTAAGTTCCCAGTTGTTGTCAGATGACATCTTTGCCGTTGACAGATATGCTAATTTAAATAGAGTATTTTAAAATGAAAATTTGGACATAAATTCAATGTTTATTCCATGATAGAATGTAAGATAAATTGTTATTTTAGATTTTATTGTAGAACGGATTTCCTGGGGGAAGTAGCTTAGGGAGGGGTGCCGGAAGCATTTCGCTCTTTTACTCTCTGTGCATGTGCTAATTGGGCATTTATGCGAGACTTTATAGAAAACTGAGTGAAAGAGGAAAAAGCTTTCATGTAGCTGCCCTAAGTTCTGTGTAGTAGAGTGATGATTTTTGTATGTTAACCTTGGAACCTTTAAAGAGGCAACAGAAGTTGGCAATCAAAGATAGGAAATCTAACTGGAGATTTTTATACTTTAATGATTTTTAGGATGTCTACTAAAGAAATGAACATGATGAAAAGTGATAAGTTAAGACATATTTTTTTTTTTTTATTTTAACAAAAATGTACTAATAATGCCCTTATGGGGTATTTACTCCAGGCCGTGTTCAGGGTTATTTATTAGTGTTGACTCACTTACTCCTCACCACAGTCCTTTTGGAGAGGTAGTGTTACTCTCCCATTTCACAGGTGGTCCCCTGAGGCACGGGAGGGGTGAAGGTCTCCCCAGGTTGGTCAGCCAGCAGCTGGGAAGTGAGACCAGCGTCTGTGCCCTCACAGTGCCTCGCCGCCTTCTGATACTCACAGCTCAGCCACCCACAGTGACATTACTCTCAGCAGTGACTCGGCATTGCCACATGGTTTGGGGAGGTTTCTTTTTGTTTTTATTTTAGGTTCATAATAGCAAAACAAGCAAATGTTTTAATGGCCCCCATCAATTCCTTTTCTTTAAGATCAATATTAAAGCAGTTTGGGAAATGGTTTTGCTTAAAGTCAGAGGATCCTCTGAGTATACAAATTTGAGTACTCTATATTAAAAAGGTTCTTTTCTTTTCTAGCTTATGTATAAAGAGTGAGGTTATACTATCCTTTTATGAGAGCTAAGTGGGCTTTTTCCATTCTGTTAGAGCTACTGTGAAAGAGCTGAGTGGAAAGCTGAGTTTGTGTGCAGTCAAAGTCAGGCCCACGGGCATGTGTGTGTGTGTGTGTGTGTGTGTGTGTGTGTATTTCATGACCAGTATCTGCCAGTCTAGCGGTGTGCTCTGAACGCCTCTCACATCTCCTCTTCCTTCTCTGTCGAGAGGGCTCCAGGTTTGGCCTCGCCTCCTAGGAGTTACTGTGGCTCTGAGTGATAGTGCATGGTGGGTGTTTTGTATGGTTTTGCTCCCGATGCTGTTTTGATGCAGACTGAATTAATTTTGATGATGAAGTTCATGTGCACATCTTCGGGTTTACTTTGTTGCCTGGAATGTTCTGGCTGTTCTTTTGAAGTTGAAGAAAGCAGTGGCTGTAGGGCAGGCTCTGGAGTGAAACTGGGTGGAGGTGAAGGGCTCCATCTTTCCTGAGCTCTGTGGCTTTGGGCAAGTTACTCAACTCACTCTCCTTGAGGGAAAAATCATACCTACTCTTGGAGGTTAAGTTAGATCATATATGTCAGGTTCCAGGTTTTCTAGAGACCAGTTATATAAAGATGTGAGACATCTCATTTTGTAACATCATTTTACTAAATATGAAAGAGTCTAAAATTACTAATTTAACACATCTTAGAGCCCGTTTTGCCTATACTTAACTAAAAATGTTCTAACTGGATTTCTCTCTATTCCTGTTGTAGGTGCTGGAGATCAGAATCTATTTACCTCTATTTACCCAACACTTTCACAGCAGCTGCCGAGAGAACCAATGGAATGGAGAAGGTATGATGTGTTTATTTTTTGGCTATATCGCCCTCTTTCACTTTTTAGACATCTGTGTGAAAGTGAGGTAGTAAAAGTTAAAGCCTGAGTCCTGCAGTGACTGTGGAGAAACTGAGTGGCATCACAACTGTGGGCCTTTCTCCTTAAGAAATAGATTTATGCTGAAACTGGTTTGGCTTAGTGGCTAGAGCGTCGGCCTGCGGACTGAAAGGTCCCAGGTTTGATTCCAGTCAAGGGCATGTACCTTGGTTGCGGGCACATCCCCAGTGTGGGGGTGTGCAGGAGGCAGCTGATCGATGTTTCTCTCTCATTGATGTTTTTAGCTCTCTATTCCTCTCCCTTCCTCTCTGTAAAAAATCAATAAAATATACTTTATATATATAAAAAAAGAAATAGATTTATTTTCTCAACAAGTCATAGGATGGAAGAAATAAGACCGTTCTTTTGAGTTAGAGGCCTGCCTTTACAGGAATGATTTCTGATTCTTCAGTGTTCATCAGAATGTCTTAGAAGCATAGTGCTTTGGAAAGGAAACGAGCACTCACTCAGATTCCACATTAAGGCAGAAGATTGGCCTTTAACTATGCTCTCATAAACACCTCTGTCCACCCTGAGCTCCTTCTCATGCTCTTCCTTAAGGATGAGGAAGTATACAGAAAGATATTTATTTATTTATTTATTTAAATATATTTTTTATTGATTTTGTACAGAGAGGAAGGGAGAGAGATAGAGAGTTAGAAACATCGGTGAGAGTCATCGATCAGCTGCCTCTTGCACACCCCCCACTGGGGATGTGCCTGCAACCAAGGTACATGCCCTTGACTGGAATCGAACTCGGGACCCTTCAGTCCCCAAGCCGATGCTCTATCCATTGAGCCAAACCGGTTTCGGCCAGAAAGATATTTTTTTAAATTAGGACAGAAACCACATCAGCCACCCCAGCGCCCTGTTGTAATTGTTTATTTAATGACTTGTTCAAAGGAAATACTTGGTTTGGATTATTTCTGGTAAGGTATTATTTTTAGAAAGTGTTTGGATTTTAATTTGTTAACATAGGTAATCTGATTTTAACAATGTGGATAAAAACTTCCTGTTGTTATTCATGCTCATGTAATTCTGATTATTGCTACGTTATTCATTTCTGACTACCAATTTTTACCATAAAGAATTAGTATGGCTTCCTGTGGATGATTCACCCAAGTTCGCTATTGAATCTAGTCTAATTTTTGTGCCCAATTATTGTGTTACAAGAATGTGCTTAATCAGTAACATTTGATATAAATAGTATTCAGAATGTGGCAGAATTCTCTTATGAAAAAACTAGAGGCCCAGTGCACAAAATTTGTGTACAGGTAGGGTCCCTAGGCCTGGCCAGCAATGAGGGCCAATCAGATTCCCCGCCTCCCCATCTCCCTGCTTTCTCCTTCTCTTCCGCTCCACCTCCTCCTTCTCTCACCACCCCAAGCCACCCCCCGTTGGTCAGCACAAGTCATAGCAGGCAATCGAACTACTGATCGATCTCCCAAGGGGACACTTTGAATATTAGTCTTTTATATATATAGATTGCTCAGATTCCGAGGAGGCCTAGTGCTGTGAGTGAGAGAAAACATTTCATTCAGCAAATGGAGGAATTTAATGTCTAAAGAAATGGAATAATTTAAAAAGGATTTCAAATAAGTTTACATTATTTAAACACTCAGAAAGATAAAAGAAAAAAAAGTGTGTCCATGAAACAATAAAGAGAATTATGAGGGGGAAAATGAAGTAGAGAAACTACATAGATTTAATATAGTATTAATCTCTACCTTCCTAAAACATGGTATTAAAGAGACGTGGACACTTTGGGCACCTTTTAGAAGGAAGAGAGATGGAGAAATTGGGAGAGATAGCTGAGCCCTATGTGTCTGCAGAGGAGACTCCCTGAGGAGCACGCAAGTCCCAGAAAAGGTGGGAAAGGATAGTAGCAGAGGGCTTGGGCAGGGAGCATTTGGTAGATGCAGGGCCCCCACAGTCCTGTGTCTGTATGCATGCCTGCGTGTGTGTGTGTGTGCCTGTGTGCCTGCACGCGTGCAGAAGTGACCATAATTGTCTGCCCTTCAAGAACCTGGAGGCGAGGGGTAAGGGGGTGTTTTTCTATGGACATGAAGCTATAGACCCTTGGATGTGAGGCACTGCAAAAAGTTGGAAGAAGTTTCATTCTAAAATCAGCATGTCTAAATCTGAACGGGGTACAGCTGAGAAGCAAGAACTCTGCCACATCCATGCTCTCCAGGCAAGAGAGTAGAGACTTCATCCAGGAGAAACTGGGTGGCCCAAGGGATAAGGCTACCACACTCCCTGTTTTAGAAAACCTTGGGAGGAGGTGCTTCATCAAACTTAGGACCTGGTTGGTGCAGCAAGCTCCTGGGAGATGCTCCTTTTGGACTGAGTAAAGGGAAAAGGAACCAATAGAATCCCTGATGCCTGACTGTGTGGGTAGCACTCAGAGGATTTACAGTTCTGTTTGAGAGCTTCGGAAGATGTACAAATTGTGATGCTGGGAGCTTAAGAAAATAAAAATGCCAAGAAGAAGAAAAATTACATCCTGAAGCTACTGCAAACACAGGGTATTACTTGGCCCATTAATGAACCATGCTTCTACATTTAGTAATAAGGGGCACATGGCATATGGCAACCACCACTTGTGATAGAGCCATTATGAGGGGGAGGGAGAGCAGGAGGATGGACAGCCAGCTAGTAAGTGTTTCAGAAGAGAGAACAGAGAATGGAAAACAGGTAATATTTGAAGAACTAACATCAAGATTTTCCCAGAAATGATCAGAGCCAACTGAAAGTCAAGCATAATAAAAGTAAAACAAAGCAAACAGAAAGCTATGCCAAGGAAACAGAGGAAAGGGAAACCAAATTTGAAGTCTCTCTCAACATTTGAAATGCAGCATAAAATAGGACATTTAAGAACAGTCTTCTCAAAGTACTGAAGGAAAATACCTTTGAACCTAGCACTTGTGCAAGAGGGAAAACTGCATCAGAGCAGCTGTAGGAGACTAATATGTAGGTGAGGCAGAGAGGATGAAGGACGAGACAGGGTGCTAAGAGATTTTGTTCCTTTTGGCCTTGGGAACCAGCTGGGGTCCAGGATGGCTAGGGACCCTGATCTGTCACATCTTGTTGTGCACAGCCATATGTGTTACTCTAGAGTGTCATTCAGATATTCTTCTCACTGCTTACCAGAACATGGAAATAGTTGGAAAATAGTGCAATAAATAATAACATTTTTAGACATATGTGATCAGAAACTTTACCACTCTGTCTGAAATAATTAAAGGAAGTCTCTCAAGAAGAAAAATGAACTCAAAATTTACAAGATGAAAGAGGCAGATTCCAGCAAACAAGACATAAAATATTTTCCTAAAGTTAAGGTATCAATTCTTTTGAAAATTAAAAAAATCTAAGTTCCAGATGTGTGGAAAAAAGAGAGGTGTGCTGTCTTTCTTGTCTCATTCAAGGAAGATGCATATTGACTTTAGTCTTTGAAAGAAAATGTATTAATAAGTTTATGCATATCTCTATATATATTTATATATATAAAAGGCTAATATGCTAAGTATCCAACCGTCTGACTGGTTGCTATGACGTGTATTGACCACCAGAGGGCAGATGAGGCCACTCCACTACCCAGAGCAACAGCCCATCAAATATGCAGCCAAAGCTGCAGAGACCCTGTGGTGCAAAATGTGGCCCACAGCCCAGCCCAGCCGGAAACGGTGGCTGTGGGTGCCGAATAATGATGTCACATAGCAATGCCCTGCTTCCTCTCTCTAGCTATTAGCCTCCTTGGAGTTTCTTCAGCCCAGGAACACAACTTGCTTTATAGCCAGGTGGAAATATTTTACACTTTAATCAAATGTCTGTGAAGCGTTTTCCGTGCCTCATCTCATTTGATTCTCACAGAAGTCCTGGAGTAGGCAGGTAGGAGACTTGGTGGAATCCCATTTCCTTTTTATTAGCCAGAAAACAGAGATTTAGAAAGTTTAGAAACTTGACCCGACTGAAAAGTAAAAAATGGTGGATCTTGAAAATGACTTCAGGTTTTCTCCCTGTGCAGAATATAGACAAACACTGCTGCAGTTAAATATTTTACCTTTTGTTCTCCCTGTGTGATCTACAATAATAATCTGCTTCGTGTTGATATTTACTGTTGAGTTGCTAACAATTACCTGAAAGAGAAGTTGGGGTGCTTCACTGGGCTGGAAAAAGTTTAACTAAATCAGAAAGCAGGTGTAATTAAGCAAGTTTATATATAGAAAGCTCTTAATGGTGCCAATTGCATGCATGTGTTTTGATCTGTCATTGTTGATCATGAATTTGGTTGACACTTCCATTATAGAGAAAGGGTGAATAGCGATATTAAAATATTTCTTCTAATTAATTTCCTTTCAATGTGCACAAATTTGTGCATCGGGCCACTAGTTAAAAATAAACATGTAAGCAGCAACAGAATAGTAATAGATGGTTAAGATGGAAAAAGAGAACTTGATTTGTCTTATGAAGGACAGAAAAAAAAATAGTTTGCAAATAGGATGTAAACAAGTTCAAGTGTGAGCATGATCACATTCAACATGGTTGGTGTTAGCTTGAAGCAGGGATGCTCTTCGGATTGGAGACACAGCCTCAAGAGGTGGAAAATACGGTTTGGAATAAAGACACCTGTGGCATAATTTATTTTTAGAAGTATAATAAAAATAGCACCCATACCTTCTGATAATCTTAGGTTAGATATTTGTACATGATGGGGTTTTCTGTGTTCTTTCCTTTTGGGCTGAGTAAAGGGAGGAGGGTGGTTACCATGGTTTTATTTGTGCTCTGCAAACAAATCCTGTTCTCTTTCACCAACGGTTCTCTTTTCTGGATAACACAGGTGACAGCAGTATTAGCTTTCATAGTTTCAAACTTCACTTTGGACATTTGAGAAACTTCTTTTATAGTGACTTACAGATGAAGTAGTCAGGTCCATTTTTCTCAGATGTTGCAAATAAGCCCTGGTTAGATAGCATATTCTTGTGCTTGCAGGTATTGAGTAAAAAGGTTTTATGGACAGAGAGCTTTGATGTGTAGCTGTGAACTGTGTTTAAAATAATTTCTAGAATTATTTTGGAAGACTCCTATTGGTTAATAGTCTATATGTACTTTTGAACTCATAGAAACTATTAAATTCTTGTCCTGGCCAGGTAACTCAGCTGGTTAGAGCATTGTCCTGATACGCCAAGATTACATGTTTGATCCCCGGTCAGGGCACATACAAGTCATTAGTGATTGCATGGATAAGTGGAACAGCAATGTTTCCCCCCTCCTTTGTCTCTCTCTAAAAAAATCAATTTAAAAAAAAGAAAATGAAATAATGAAATTCTTGTTGCATTTTTCTCTTTCTGCTGACCATACTTCAGTTGTTTTTCTCAGTGACTTTTCAAATTGTTATAGGTCCTATGGCCGGGCTCCCAAGATGATTCACCTAGAATCCAACTTTGTGCAGTTCAAAGAGGAGTTGCTGCCCAAGGAAGGAAATAAAGCTCTGCTTACGTTCCCCTTCCTTCATATTTATTGGACAGAATGCTGTGTAAGTATTCACTGGGGGGTGGGGATGTCTTGGAATGTGGTTAACAATCCACGGTCTTGGGTTTTTTTTGAGGCAGTTACAATTTTTCATATGTACTTCCTTGTGCACCCTTTATTTTTGGTGTTCTCGCTTCGCCATTCCTCGGCCAGATGTATGGCTTTGTTGCACCTTTCTGCTCTGGTCCAGTGCGTTGCCCTCATGGTAATCACCCATTGCAGTCTTCCTTCCTGTGTTCCAAGTTGTGTGAGGCATTTCTCTGTGCCCCAGTGGCCACTAGGTATTTTTAATATTTACTTTTAGCTTCGTTTTCATAACCTTCTATGTTCACCATCATAGAGATAGTCCTTGTTCTCCCTTGCTGGTTTGTGTGCTTTCTGAGGGCCTGGGCCTTGTGTCCTTCCTCATGGCTAGGGCCTGACAAAGGGCTCCCGGGACTTCCCAGCCAGTGAGGGAGCCCTGCTGCTGTAGGCGTTCACTTGAACTTGGCACTTGTATATTTATGAATCCAGAGAGAATATTTTCATCTTGACAGAATTCTCCTCTCATGAACTAATAGAAAATTTTGTGGGTCATTTCCTCCTGTCTGTTTACTCTAATAAAGCGAACATTTAGCAATAAACAAAACACATAAGTCATTGCATATTGTGACATTTTAACCTGAATCTGAGGGTGCAGAAGCAGTTTTTGTAATTTTAATGAGAAATAACTCAAAGCTCATGCCTGGTTTTTCTGGACTTCACCCCATGCACCTTTTGCTTTTGTCCAGCAACACATGTGGGATGTCATCTATTAGCTCATCGGAGACTCAGCACGCAAGGTTTTTATTGGGGCTGGTCATGTGGCATCTCTGCCTGGCGTGAATGAAAACTCTGGCCTCACAGAGAGAGTATAGGTTCCAGCACAGCCATAGTGTCTACACAAATGGTTTAGGCCCAGGGAAGCACTCGTCATATGTGGTGGGAGGGAACCCTCTCGAAGTCCACATTCCCAGGGATAGCCAAGGGCCAGCCTTGTGAGAGGCTTGGAGATGGCTGCCCAGCCTGGTAACTTCTCTCCAGCCCCTCAGTGGTAATGTCAGGTTTGATTGGTGATCTAGGCTGGTTTATTCATGCTCTGGTTGTTTTCACCTTGCAACTAATAAGCCCTCTCTGGGAGCACCGTACGGCACTGGGAGTACCCTTCTCCTCATCCAGTGTTCGCACTGAGATGCCATCCCCACTGGTGGCTCTTCCTGAGCCAGCTTTTACCAAAGGTTGCAAACTGCACTCCTCCAAATGTATCAGCCAGTGCTCTACTCCAGGAGAGAGCCTGCATAGATTTTGTTTAATTTAATGCTTTACAGCCAATTACAATTAGCCTTTTTTATTTGAGGTTCAAATTGTCCCAGATTTGGCCAGCCAGGGTCACTTCAAATGGCTCCTATGTCCCTTTGAGTATTTTCTAACTTCCTGGGACAATAAGATGTTCTAGGTTCTAGTACTTTTGCTATGTTGACCTGGAATCAGCCATTTCTTCCTTTGCCACTGTGGAGTGCCCCTGCTTTATGCCCTTTTTGTAGACATTGCTAAGAAAGGACATTCTATGGAGCCTAGAGTTCATACTGATGCCTCAGATTTTAGCCTGACCTCTCAGGGCTCTTTCTGGCTTACCCATTTCATGTTTATATTCACCTTGGTTCTCGACACCAGGAACACATCGGCTCTGGCTCAGTCCTACAATATGCATAACATAGTTTCACGGTTGCTATGAGCACTACACTATGGTTAGAAACACATCTTCTAAGAACAGTTCAGCACTTCGCACTTTTCTAGACTGACGGAACGTGTCGTTCCTTCTGCTTGATTTTCCAGGTGAGCATTAGTATCAAATTCCTTAGCTCCAGACGAAAGCTTCTTGGAATTTTTATTGGGATCATATGAAGTTTATAAATAACCACATGCAGATCTAACATTTTGATGATGCTGAGCTGTTCTAACCCAAAACAAGGGATGTCTTTCATGTGTGCAGGTCTACTTCTGTGCCTTTCAGAGTATTTTTTACTTTTCTTCTTCATAGATTTTCAATGTTTTTTGTTAATTTTATTTCTAAGTATTTTACTTTTTTGTTGCTATTGAAAATGGGGTTTTCTCTCCCATTATATATTCTAGTTTTTTGTGTATATGAAGGTTGTGATATTTTTAAAGTCTTAAAAGGTAGCATACCTTCTGCCAGGTCCTCTTAGGATGCTTTCTCTTAGAGCCCAGCCACCACTCTGTGAGGAAGTCAAGTGCCTCTATGGGCAGGCATGTGGAGGTGCAGCCCTAGTCCCAGCAGGTCCTGGCCTACAAGCTCCAGCCTTCAGACCCCACAGCTGATACCAGGAGGCACAGATGAGCTGCCCACTGAGTCTCTAGGTTGTGGGTTCATGAGTAGAATATATGTCTGAACCATTACATATTGCGTGGTTTGTTACAAAGCAACAGGTCACTGGAATAGCAGGTCACTGAAAAGAAAAAGGAAAGACTGGAGAGGATTTGATTGTGATTGCCTTGAATAAGTTATAGATTAATTTGAGAGGAATTAGTAATTATGAATCTTTTGGTCTGGGAACATGGTTTGTTTTTGCCTTCATTCTACCTTTTTTATATCCTTTAATAATATATTAACAATGTTTTTCACAAAAGTCTTGTATTTTTATTGTTGGATCTGATTTTTGTGGGCATTATGAATGATGTCCCCCCTTAAATTGCATTTTCTAAAGGGCCTACAGTGATGGCAGGCAGCCTGCAGCGGGAGGAGCCTCTTGCCTCCCCCATCCAGGCACAGGTGTGGATGGGATTCCTGCAGTGCTTGGACACAGGGCCTTTGGCTTTTCAGTCCTGGGTTTTGAAGTCACAACTTACCTAGCTGACTGTCACTGTAGGCAACTTCCCAAGCTGTCTGACTCACAGTCTCTTCCTCTGTGACATTGGAAGATCTTCCCTCATGCTCCCAAGTATTTGGGAATAACTCAAAGGCTATGTGCGGAGCCTGCCCAGAGACCTGCAGGAGTGGCTCGGTACTGGGCATCTCCTGGAGCGTCCCCACCCCGGGACTGGAAAGTGCTGTGGTGGCTGTATTCCCTGCTATTAGACACATTTTGCCATGTAAATGAAAGGGATGGATTAACTTGTTTTCACAGTGACGTATTTATTTTTAGGATACTGAAGTGTATAAAGCAACAGTAAAAGATGACCTTACCAAGTGGCAGAATGTTCTGAAAGCTCATAGCTCTGTGGACTGGTTAATAGTGGTAGTTGAAAATGATGCCAAGAAAAAAAACAAAACCAACATCCTTCCTCGAACTTCTATTGTGGACAAAATAAGAAATGATTTTTGTAATAAACAGAGTGACAGGTAAGTATTTTTAATTTTACCTCATTGGGCCGAAACTGGTTTGGCTCAATGGATAGAGCGTCGGCTTGGGGACTGAAGGGTCCCGGGTTCGATTCCGGTCAAGGACATGTACCTTGGTTGCGGGCACATCCCCGGTGGGGGGTGTGCAAGAGGCAGCTGATCGATGACTCTCTCTCACCGATGTTTCTAACTCTCTCTCTCCCTGCCTTTCTGTACAAAATCAATAAAAAATATTTTAAAAAATTTTTTTACCTTATTGGGCTGATACTATGATGATACAGATTATTGGCTTCGGGTAGTGATAAATATTTACTCTGTGTGTCTGGGTGTGCCTGACACTTGAGCGTGTGGTGGTGGTGCTGAAAACAGAACCATGTCCCTGCTGGTGGAGTTCCTGGTCTGGCAGGTGAAATCTGTACACAGTAACCCCCAGTGGAGAGGCCCTGTGGCCCAGTGACCCTGGGGGAGGCCACATGGTAGGCCCTCATTATTGATAATAATGGGCGTCAGCATAGCAAGGGCTTCAAGGAGTCTTGATATCTTGTGTGCCGGATTCCTTAAAAACAGAAGTTATAAAATGCTGACTTCATCTCCTTCACAAACTGTAACTGGGACCGCCGAAGTCTTGGTGGTTTCTCTGTTGCAGGGATTGACTCACCAGCCAAAGAAGGAAGAAAGGAAGGAGGGCGGGAGGGGAGAGAGGAAGGGGAGGAAGGAACTCATTGGAAGGAAAAATGGAGCAGTGATGCTGTGCTTGGAGAGTATTTTCCAGATAGTCCATTCATGTCTCTGCAGGTGTGTTGTGCTCAATGACCCCTTGAAGGACTCTTCTCGAACTCAGGAATCCTGGAATGCCTTCCTGACCAAACTCAGGACATTGCTTCTTATGTCTTTTACCAAAAACCTAGGCAAGTTTGAGGATGACATGAGAACCTTGAGGGAGAAGAGGACTGAGCCAGGCTGGAGCTTTTGTGAATATTTCATGGTTCAGGTATTTGACTAATGGTAGAACTGGACAACTTTCTTCCCTCTCTCTGTATACTCCCTCCCTCCCTTCTAAATAAGGCAACTCTCTTGGGGTAAGTCTTATTGGCATTGCTTTTTAAACAAAAAGACAATATAGTAGCTAACAGATGTTTCTGTCCAGAAATGGTATCCTGAGTAATTATATCAGCAGCTCCCTGGAGCTTCAGAGTTTGACATTTAGCCTTTTATGAAATGGCCTTGTCCTTGAACCCAGTGGTTTTGGATTGGAATCTGAGGTGTCAATGTGAACCCACATTATGATAGGTGGGTGGGTGAGTGGGTGGGTGGATGGATGGGTAGATAGATGGGTTGATTCAGACATATATATGAATGTGTTGTGAGGGTTAGTACACATACATACTTGCTCTGCCTTCTGACAGGGTCTAGGAAAGATGATACCTCAGTAGCAATAAGCACACCTAGTGCTAGATCTTGGTTTCTAAACTCCATTTTGCACTAAAAGGTGCTGGAGCTCCTTATAGAAGTGGTTGATTCCAGGGTTAGGGCAGGGACCTGGAATATCTGTAGATCCAGCAAGTAAGGAAGTGTACAAGAAAGGTGGAGGTCCGCCAGAAGAACATAAGCTGAACCATTTGTGCCAGATAAATAATGACAGGTTGGTTTGTAACCCATGCAATGAAGTTCATACCCATAAGATTGCATAGATATGCTCTGAGTGGCCAGATTATTAAGATCTCTGAATGCATCAGTGTATATCATATATAATAAAAGGCTAATATGCAAATTGTCCCCTCAACCAGGAGTTTAATCAGCAGGCAGGCCGGCCAATTGCCCATGTCCCCTCCCCCTGGTCAGGCTGTCTGGACCCCACTCATGCACCAATTCATGCACTGGGCCTCGTATATGTATATGTATATGTATATGTATATGTATATGTATATGAATATATAGATGGCTGCCCCCATATAGACACAAGATGGCCGCCACAAGATAACCAGTAGGGGAGGGCAGTTGGGAGGGACCAGGCCTGCAAGGGAGGGCAGTTGGGGGCAATCAAGCCTGCAGGGGAGGGCAGTTAGGAGTGATCAGCCGACAGAGGAGGGAAGTTGAGGGTGACCAGGCCTGTAGGGAAAGGCAGTTGCGGGGGGACCCAGGCCTAGAGGGGAGAGCAGTTGGGTAGACCAGGCCTGCAGGGGAGGGCAGTTAGGGGTGACCAGGCCTGCAGGGGAGGGCAGTTAGGGGCAATCAGGCTGGCAGGGGAGCAGTTAGGCATCAATCAGGCTGGCAGAGGAGTGGTTAGGGGGTGATCAGGCTGACAGGCAGAAGTGGTTAGGGGCAATCAGGAAGGCAGGCAGGTGAGCAATTGGGAGTCAGCAGTTCTGGATTGTAAGAGGGAGGTCCATTTGCCCGTTTAGGCTCGATCCTACCCAGCAGTCAGACATCTCTCGAGGAGAGATGGAGAGGCTGCAGGCTGGGCTGAGGGGGACCCCCCCCCCCCCCGCCCTGCACAAAGTTCATGCACCTGGCCGCTAGCACGCATGCATGCACACGCGTAAACACACACACACACACACACACATTGGTGGCCAGATTATTATGCATTCAGAGATCATAATAATCTGGCCACTCAGTGTAAATAAATAGCTGGTTAAATGAGTATATGGAGAAAAAGGTCCAGCTCTTCCATGTGGAAGATTCTAGTGAAAACTTATATCTGGAATGATGGCAAGGGAAATGTCCAGGACAAGAGTTGACTGTGGTTCTGTGCTGCTGATAAGTCATGGAGAGTCAGAACTCACCTTGGCCCTCTCTGATTGCATTTCAGTCTCCTCTCTGTGCCTGCATAAATGTCATTGACATGGCATTAAATTGGTTTTTACTTGGTATAAGCATTGTTCATAAAGCTGCATGCTTCCCTTTGTTTCAGTCTTCATTAGCTACATAGTGTTTCAAAATACTGATTCAGGCTTTTGCTTTTTTAAAACAGGAGGAACTGGCCTTTGTGTTTGAGATGCTGCAGCAGTTTGAAGATGCTCTGGTGCAGTATGACGAGCTGGACGCCCTGTTTTCTCAGTATGTGGTCAACTTCGGTGCTGGCGGTGAGTGGTGATACTTTAGATGCAGATCCTCTTCTCAATACAGTTTCCCCACTTTTAAGTTGTCTGGAGCTGACATTCATTCACAAAATGATTAGAGCATCTGTATTATTGTTTTAAAATAAATTATAAGGATATATTCTCTATGTTTCAGTAGGAATGAAATGATAATTAAGAATTAGTCACTTTCACTTTTAGAAGACTCCTAAGTAATCACAGCATTTAAGTGGTTTTTCAGGTATAAAGTGTCATTTTTACAACTGACAGCTGGCTAGTGATACTTCTGATTCTGTGCCTCCTTGCTAGCATAAGGGTGGGGCCTTTGCCTCTGTTGAGAGGTCCCCTTTGTGATATTTGAATGCTCATTGCAGTGGTTTTATATGACACCATTGTGATAGGTGTTCATTTTTCCTCTAAACTTTCAGGTAATGTCTTAAATTCTCTCAAAAGTACAAAAGTAGCACTGTCAAACCATTTATGAAGTTTATAATTGTCCTCACAGTTTTTTTGGTTGATAATTTATTTAGATGGAAATAGCGTGAAATATGTAGATATTTGTCTGTAGCTTGTTCTTTTTAACGGCCCATCGCAGGCATTTCTCCAAGGTAACAGCTGAAATTCTAAGTTATTTTTGTTCATAGCTGCGTGGTGCTTCATAATGTGGCTTATTTAGTTTATTCAGCCGTCCCTTGGTGCTGGTATTTGGGTGTTTTCTGCTCTTGCCACCACTAGCTGGGTTGTAATAGACATCTTTGTTGGGTGGTGGGGTGTTTTTTTGTGTGTGTTTGTTTGTTTTCAGAGAGAACTTTTGTTAGGATGTCCAATGAAAGGAGTGATTTCGGGGACCATAGTGTCTGCTAGAAAACTTGGAATGAGCAGTCCCGGGGCAGTCCCCTAGTGTCATGTACCACCTTAGCTCTGAAAAGGATGATGCAATGTCACTGGTGACCCCACTCCCAGCCAGTTTTTATCAAGTTCAGCTTTGGATCTCTTATTTTGCCAAGACACAATATAAACATAAAACCAAAGCATTTACTAATTAAGTAAAAAAATTTAGAAGAGATAAAATTACATTTCTTATATTTTACATATATTATACATATATATCTTTTAAATATCTTTCCTATTTCTTAAATTATATTTTATAAAATTTCTTTGTTCTCTCAGTTTTAAAATAAACTTGGGGACCATTTAAAATCCAAAAGTAAACCTGGTCCAAGTTCTGCAGCTGACTGATACGATTGTTCATTTTTGTTCCTTCATTTCATAGACACTTGTTGAGCATCCACTCTGTACCAGGCACTATTCTCAATGAAGCAGGGACCAGAACGAAATCAGGCACAGGAAGAGAAATATTTAACTTACAGGCAGGCAGGAATAAGTGCAGGCTGCAGAAAGGACACAGCGAGGGGATAAGGTGGCTGTGAGTGCTGTTCAGGTCTAGGCTAAACAGTCCAGGAAGACTGAGCAGGTGGCCTTCACACAAAGCCCGAAGGGGAGGTGGGTGTGAGCCAGGAGAATCCTGGTGGTTGGGACCACAGAGGGACATGCTGGTGTTGGGACTCCAAGGGTCTGACTAGACATCACACTTAGTGTGCACTTGACAGCTCTGAGTATAAGTGTAAGTCAGCAAAGGATGCTGTAGGTTGCAGTTGGCACTGCAGATACTCAGTCGTGTCAGATGCCCATTATCAAATTGCTTCCTTACATGAACATAGAACAGAATGGTTCTAACACCTCTCTTTTGGAGTGAGAAAAATAGATTAAGATTTTTTTAATAGGGTTTGAATGACTTGTTACTGTAGTTTCTTATGTTTATTTTAAGGTCATATTTGAGTCTTGGGGTTATAAGTTTAAATTGAGAGCATTGCTGGAAATTTTTGACAAGCAAGAATTTTCCTCTCTGCTTCCTGTACTCTATCTTCCTTTGCTTACTATCCTTTTCTCTAGGAGCAGGACTCAGGTAGTCGGCACGGCTGAGTTAGAGACAGTGGATTAAGGAAAGGAGTAGAGACAAGGAAGACAAAAGACCTGTGTGGCCCCGGGAGCAGGCTGCCCTCCAGTCCCAGGAGACCTGCTCCAGCCCAGGCCTCGCGCCTTCCCTCAGAGCTGACTGACCCCAGGGCCCACGGCTCCCTCTCCCCTCAGCCACAGTCTGACTGCTTCCCCACCTGTCACCACCTTGTGGCATGGTACCCTGTGCTTACTGTCAAGTGACAAGTCCTGAGTAAGGTGCTTTGTAAGAACCCCATCCCCGCATCCCAAGACTGGTTCCATGCCAACCGGAAGGGGCGGGCCGGTACTTAGGGAGTAACTGGGTGGTGAGCTGCCCACCAGTACCTGAGGTCCCACAGTCCCTCCAGCATCTCAGTGAGGTGAAGGGATCTGTAGTCAGCTTTCATGATGTGTGTTTGTTTAGATGGTGCCAACTGGCTGACTTTTTTCTGCCAGCCGGTGAAGAGCTGGAATGGATTGACCCTTCGAAAGCCCATAGATATGGAGAAGCGTGAATTGATACAGAGGCAAGAAGCTACCCTATTAGATCTGCGCAGTTACCTGTTTGCTCGCCAGTGCACCCTGCTCCTCTTCCTGCAGAGGCCGTGGGAGGTGGCTCAGCGCGCCCTAGAGCTGCTGCACAACTGTGTGCAGGAGCTGAAGCTCTTGGAAGTGAGTCGTCTGTTTTCCCAATTTACCCTTTTCTTGACTGTTTACACAGAAATCCCAGACATTGAACTATTTGTGCTTAGGAAAGAGTTTTCTTTTCTCAATGTCCTTAATTTCTTGTATATAATCTGTATAGTTACTCTTTGCATTGATTAATTAATTGCTGGAAAATATAATTTCTGCTCCCAGTGTGGTGGAGTTCATGTTGGCACAAAGCAAGCCTTTTGGATTAGTTTCTTAATATAATTTTGAAAGTGGCCTTTGGCTTATTCTCTGGGAGCAGGTCTTCATGACAAAGTACCCTCCTGATGGACATGCAGGATTAGGTTTTGCAGGTAGATATTCGTTTTATTTCAGAACTGTCTTCGTTTTGTAAGTGAACATGCAGGTAACAGTGTGACATACAGCCAGCTGTGCCATGCTAATTAGCACAAAGCCTAATGGAAAGTACATTATGAATACGTGTGTGAAAGAAACCACTTAGTGAGACTAAGTGTTGATTTGATCTATAGTGAAATATCGCCTTTAAAGATGAATTCACCCAGGGTGCCTGAACTCTTCCTTCCTGTAGAATCGTAAATATTATTGTGAGGAAACCTAGTTAAATGAGTTCCTAGTTAAATTTAATTTCAGCAGCCTCTTTGCCCAGGAAAATGCACATATGCACCTACACAGTGTTATATATTGTTTCTGAGGATTCATAGACACCCGACCCCCATTCCTCAATGACGTCCTAAGTGAGTGGTCTAATTCCACTTCACACATGAAGAAAGTGGGTCTGGAAGTGATTAGGTGACTTACCCAGAAACATAATCAGGTCATCCAAGCCATGTTAGTGACTCTTCTGTCCTGGTCCACACCAGCACGCCCAAGGGCACAGTTATGAAAGGTCGAAGAGTGTAATATTCCTGTGTTAGATAAGCCGTGGGCAGGGGGTAGCTTTCCTAATACAGGAACTTTTATTTTGTGTGTCCAGAATGCTAAACATAGGCTCAACATTTAGTTTGAAATAATCTCAAGTGATTGAAACTTTATAAATCCAAATGAAGAGAAATTATTTTAGTTCATTTCTAAAGGAGAAATGCCTAGCCCAGCTGTCATAAACTTGAGAATTTAAGAATTTTATCAAGTTATTTTCTATCCTCAGACATCTACTCAAGCAAATGAGGAAAAATAACATTTTCCACCTTGAAATGACATTCTTTGACTCCCTATAACAAGTAGATTTAGGTCACCTGCTCTGGCTACTTCGATCTTGCTGTATAGACCTGGGGGCGGGGACTGTGAGTGACCATTCACTAACGAGACAGGCTGTCTGTGCCAGAGTTTACCTGGTTTAGACTTTCGTCTTATGGAAACTACAGAGTGGTGCAGAGCCCCCCTTTAGCATGGTGCCCAGCTTGTCACAAACTCAGGGATTTAACCATTCTCAAATTCTTCCTCTTACCTTAGAAAGTTGACCAGTCATAGCATGGCTGCCAACCTGCAGACAGGAGGGGAGGTATTGCCAGAGCCATCGGGACAGAAGGCCTGAGGGCCAGTCCTCTGGTGGGGCCACTGGCCCTGGGGAGGAAGCCGGCAGTGCAACCACTTCCTTCTTCCCTTGCCCTCCTGTCTCCTCCAGGCCTTCAAAAGCTAGAAGGTGAGGGAGCCCCTGATGCATCACACACGACAGCAGGGGGGAGAGTGGCCGTGGACATCCAGCTCAGAATAGGAGGTGTCCTTGTGCACTGGTGTCCTTGTCCCGGCACGGACCTCTTACCATTCCGGTGTGTCCGACACGCAGCACCACTGCACACTCGCCTCCTGTCAGCTTTCCCAGTGCAGAGTGGGCTTTGCTCACCTTAGCCGTCGTCTTAGTCCTGTCAGGCTGTGGCTGTGGGAAGAATGGAAACAGGCCAGTTATTGCCCTGGGAAGAGATGTGCGAGGCACAGTGGCGTGGCCCCAGAGTGCCACGGCAGATTGTGTGGAGGTCAGCCTGTCAGCCGAAGTAACCGAGCTCTCAGGCTCCTCCTCTGCTGGGCAGTGCACCCTGTGCTGTTGTCAGGATCCTGCATGCACTGGGCACTTTACCCCTGGCTCCTTTCTTCTTTGGATGAAAATGGTCATTGTCATCATGGTATTTCCCCAAGTGGAATTTGACCCATTTTTAATCATGTTTAACGTGCTCTTTGTGCTTATCTGGTTCTTCACTGTCCCTCTTGCGGAGTGGACCCAGGCCAAATGGGACTGCACAGGAGGACACGCCACCTGCTGTTCGCTGTCCATCTCTCCTTCCTCAGGTCCCGCTGTTCCTCCTCTCACGCCACACACGCCAGCAGCTGTCGTGTGACTGCGCCATCACTCGGATTCCTCAGGAACTGGGCATGCACAAGGTGCCCAGCCCTTGGAGTCCACCATGCCCAGGACATTTTCTGGGGCTCCCCGGGGTGACTGGCACCTTCCTTGCTGGGCGCTTGCCTGCTTTGCCCACGGACCTGAACCCCACGGACCTGATTGCCGTCCACTTGCAGGGCTCCTCGGGAGCTGCTTTCACTACAGAAGTGCTTTCCTGTCTGTGCCAGCAGGTTGATGGCAGTGTCGTCGGTGTCCCTGGTGAGGCTTGTGGACCCGGGTGGGTGCCAACATCTGCATTTGCATGCCCTGCACCCTTCCCGCTGGGATCTGACGCAGGTACTTGGCTTCGAGCTCACTCTTCCTCCCTGAGACGGAGGCAGACCTTGGCTGCCATTGGGTTGTGAGGACCCATGAGGTACCACGTGTACAGGGAGTGTGGCATGGGCTGGGCACATCACCACCAAGTCAGGTTTTAGCATGGCCCTCCTTTTCCCTGTCTTCTTGAGTGTTTCTTTCAAGCGATGGTGTTCCCTGTACTCTGGCATGTCAGTTTTCTCCTAAGACTGTAGAGGTCATGTGACCCTGTAAGCATGGAATTACTCTCTCAGCTTTCTCTTCTCAGATTCTTTCTGCAGGGGGAGGATTGTTGTCTCTTACACCAGAGGCCAGTGCACCCACTCGTGTGAGGGGGAAGGGCTGCAGGCAGTTGGCGGGCCGGCCCCGCCCCCTGGTTGAACTCCTGGTCAGGGGACAATTTGCATATTAGCCTTTTAGTATATAGGATGTTTTGCAGTTGGCAGTTAACTTGAAAAGTTTATTCTTAGAGTTTCTTTTAACATTTTTTGGAAATATTCAAAGGTCCAAAGACTCAAAATTATTTCTATATTTTGTACAGTTGATTCTACTCTCAAAATCAGACTCCCTTTCCTGTTCTGGGCTGACTTTCTGGTGGGTTGTTTTTCATCATCAGGGCAGGGGCTAGGAGCCAATGGTGAGCTTTGGTTCTGACGGGGGAAGCTGTGGGACGAAGGCCAGGGTGCAGCCACTGTGAGGCAGGGCTGGTGTCTGGCTCTTCAGGGTTAGGCCAATGCTGTTAACCTTTTCAAGCCCAAGCCTAAGTATTGCAACGACTGTGCATTTCCTCATTGTGACATCTCCAGCAGGACATGCTGCACACGCTTACTTTTGTGGCTTGGGAGGCCTATCGTAGCTTCTAGGCTGGTGTATCAGTTGATTTAAGTGTCTTCTTTGAGGGTATCCTTTCTCTGATTTACGAGAGCAATGGTTTGGGAAGTGGGAGGGAGTGATGGTGTCCACGTTCACCCTTTGATTAGAATTTACAGTGATGGGGTGTTACATCATCCCGTGTGTTGCCCACAGGTTTATCGAAACCACACTAACCAAACAGCAAATGGTCTTCTCAACACTGCAGAGCATGAAAGTCAAGGAATGTCAGTTTGAAGAAATGAGTTTAAATAAAGGAAAAGGGGGAATTGTGAGAAGAAACAAGTCATCTTTTCTGTCAGAGAACAGTTTAGTCCGCTGCCATTTTGGCCCCCGTGACTGGCAGCTCCCCTGGGGGCCGCCATCTTGAAAGGCAAAGGTCAACCTTTCCCTTTGAATTAGCCAGTTGAGAAAGACTGTGTGCCTGAGCTCCAATCAAAAGTGAGGGACAGGTCATGTGTGTCAGGATTAAAAAGCCAAGCGGACTGCCCACTTAGTATGCATGTGTTCCAAGACCATGTGCGTGCATACCCTCCTGTAGTAGGAAAGATATTTGCCTTGCAAAAATAAAAAATAAAAATAAATCAAGTATCTTTAAGAGGAAGGGAAATATGCCATGGGAATAAGTTCACCTCTGTGGTTGGGCCCAGAGTCCCACCCAGGGATTCCGGTTAAGAGTCTGGGGCCAGCTCCCCTGATTGAAAATGTGGAAAATGCAAATTGTGCTTACCCCATACAGCTTAGGCAGCAAGTTACATCAGCTCTGGGTGGGTCCACATAACTGCATTTCAGAGTATTTTTTTCCTACAACATTTAAAAATTTGCCCTTTATTTACCAAAAATTAATTATATCCTCTGCATACGTTTGGGAGATACGGACAAGCATATGGAAGGAAGTGTCATGCTTACCTGACAGCAGGAGGTCCCTTGCTGGCCTCCGCTGTAGAGGAGTTGCTGTCCTGTCAGTCTGTCCTGCTCTGAGCAGGCTGCTTGTACATCATTTTAATGTCACAAGGTCATATAAGTAGGAACACAAGTTCAAGGATACACTGTTCTTAAAGTATTTAGCATAAACCCTCAGGTGGCCTTCTAGAAAGATCTCACCATTTCAGTTACACTAGCAATGCCGGTTTTCTAATCTTTACCGAACTGGGAAGAGAGAACAATGTAAGGAAGGTATTTTTAGAAGACCATTACATATTTGTCTAGTGACTGTCCAAATGATTTTTTTCTTAATTTGTCTGCCTTGGCACTGACTTGCCTTTTATCCACTTAGGTTGTGATTGTGCTCACAGACAGGGTAGGACCAGCAGGATTAGGACCCTTCAGGATCCCAGAAGAGCCACTCATTCCAGAGACTGGCAGGAGCCAGGCATGAGAGGCCATTGCAGCCAGTTGGCCAGATTGTGAGCAGAGACTGCGGATGGTAGAAGCATCCAGGTTAAACTGGAGAAAACAGACAAGGCAAACCTTGGGACACCTATCCAGGCGGGCTGGCTGGGATAGGTGTCCCAAGGTTTGAGCCTAGCAGAGGACAGAAGCAGAGGTGTGGTTGAAGGCAAAGTCAGGTCAGCAAGTACTTGCCGTGTGGTAGGCCCTCTGCTGGGCTCCTCGGTGAATACCTGGAGGCTGTTGTGACCTTGAGCCACGAGGATCTGAGCTGGAAGAGTAGTGGGAGTGGACAGGAAGAGGAGATCAGTGCAAAGGAAGGGTGTTGCTAAGGATGAAGTACGATTTGATGGCTGTAGGAAAAGAGATAAAGGCTACCAAGCACCCTTGGAGAATTTTAAATAAATGGTTCAAGAAAAACTTAAATAGGACCAAAAGATCACCTGTCAGATACTGTAGTAAACTTGGGTGGGAGGATAGGGACAAACATGAGGAAGAAACCCACAGTTGAGTGTACTGAGCAAGCATGTACCCAGGTCGTCAGAGCTGGGTGGTAAGAGAAGAATTTTAGGAGAGGGTCAGGAATAGAGAAGCAGCTGTGCATGGCGCTTCTGTTTAGTTTAGTAAATGTTTGTACAGTGTCTAACGTGCTTAGGAGGGTTTCTAGAAGTGGTCTTGTATGAGATAGATTTTACTTTATTATATTTTTTATTTGAGCTAGATTTTTAAAAATTCATTTAATCAACAAATACTCACCAAGCACCTATTATGTGCCAAGCAAGTGTTTATTTTAGGCACCGTGTTTTTAGCAGAGAGCAAGACAGACCGAACCCTCATTCTGTGGAGCTTTGGTTTAATGGAATGAGTAGATTGTAGATGTGGCTTGTGGCCAATGCAAGAGTCCATTTCAGACAGAGAAAATGATGTTTTATATAAGGAACTGGAAAGGATCTTAGTCTTGTTAGAAGGGGGAGACAGGGCTTGGAGGTGAAGGCTACAGAGGTACTGGCAGTGTATCTTAACGGTTATGAAAGTGCTTGTGTATCGTTTTGAAGGTTGGATTTTATTCTAGAGCACTCCCATTCCTAGGCATCCAAGAAAATAGGATGGCTCTGTGCAGAGCAGCTTATGACCAAGCAGGGGCTCGGGATGTTAACTTCCAGGGAATAATGTTGGTACACCTATGTTCCTAAGCAGCACGGCTTATGATCAGTCACCTTTGGTTAGTAGACTGTGTCTGCACTGGGAGACTATGGAAACCTGGCCATAAGGCCATGCTCTTGGGCCACCTCTCTGCTATGTGCAGCTGTTACAGGAAGGGGCTCCGTGGGCCACAAGGTTTCACGAGGGACCCAATGCCGGGATCGCCTGCCTCCTGTGAGTAGCTGAGCACTGGGACAGGGGTCTTCTGGTCTGAGAAGGCTCCCTCCTCCAGAGTGAGGAAAGCATTGCAAATAGTTTTATCTGTAGGAGCCAAGCCTTCAAAGCAACCGAAATGCCTGTCAGCGAGGCAAGTGGAATGGGGGGGATGGATGAAGAAACTGGCATACCGGAGAAAGGCCTGACACCCAGCAGTGAAGCACAACCTGCTGCTCAAAGGCCCTGAAAACTGAGCTCTGCTGACATTATATTGAGTGAGAGATGCCGTGTGCTGAAGAGCTCATGCTGTGTGACTCGGTTGATGTGAAGTTCAGCAGTCAGGCAGAAGGCATTACTGGTGACAATCTGAATAGGGGAGTGGGTATCGACGGGAAGGGGGCTGGAGGGATAATGAAATGGTCTGTTTCTTGATTTGAGTGGTAGTGACAGATGTGTCCTTGAGAACTAAACTTAGAATTTGTGCCCTTTACATACCTTGCTGTATGCATTTTGTAACTTGTTTTTTAAGTAACGGGGAAGGTATTCCTACAATCATATTTTAAATAAGTAAATTTCACTAAACTTTCCAAAAGTCTTAGGCGACCCATGACTGACGTTCTGGCTGCTGTGGAGCCCAGCTCTGCCCGGCCTTTGAAATGTATGGAGAAGAAACTGGCTCATTGGTAATTTTTTGGTATTTAGTTTGGGCCTGGTTGGGAGCCCAGATGGATGCACACAAATGAGTGGCAATGTAAGAGGTAGATGGCACCGAGAAGCTGCAGATCACAGGTGTCATAAGATGCTATGTGGCATACCAATTTATGTTCCGGTGTCTTTCAGTGAAAACTTACATTTAAACGGGGGTTTCATAGGAAATGTAGGAGGCTGTGAAAGTCTCTGGAAATAGGGCCAATGAGTGCTCTGCAGTTCCTGAGCAGCCTTGGTACAGGAGCACAGGGTGTGTGGGACTTCCCACTGGGCAGGATTGTCTGGAAGCTTCAGGTTCCAGTTAGGAAAACCAGTGCTGCATCTGGACAGGAGGACAGCAGGACAGAGAACCTCAAGGCATTGTGTCAGCGTGCTGTCCATCTGCTGGGTTTGACTTCCTCCAGGTTGGAAGTTGAGGCTTCGGCTTTGGCCATTAGAAAAGCTGATGCTCACTGATTGTGTTATTTTGTACACTCTGTTCTTCAGATTTACAGGTGGTTCTTGCTTTTTGCAGAAAATATCGATAATAAGCCAAAAAAAATCTATGCTGTAACCTTTCACAAAGTGGCCTACTGTTGCCACCACAGCGTTTGACTCTCGCTTCTTCCTTCGCACACACACACATGCCACATAGGGATGGGTGCAGCCTGGTCTCGGAGACGGACCAGCCCCTGGCTGCTGGTACAGGTGTTCACCTCTCAGAGCTCCCTGCTGTGACTCCTGGGCTTCCTCAGAACCCTCCAAGTCACAAGACACTTAGAGCACTGTGTAAAGCCCTCCAGGGTCCATGCCCTTCATCCTCCCTGGCAAATACCTGTGTATGCCTGAGGAACTGTGTCCACAGGATGGGTACCCGTGTGGTGGTATCTTGTTGAACCAGGAGGCCCTGTGAGGTGAAGCCAACACACTCGGAGCCCGCCCTGGTTTGACTGGGCAGGGAGGAGCATGCTCTGTCCCAGAGCTGCGTCCTGCGACCAGCTCTTCTGTGCATCCTTTGGGTGTGGTCCATTGTCTGGGCGAGAAAGTCATACCACTTTTGAATGTACCTTCTGATCACGTGATTTTTTTCTATGCTGATTTTTCTTTTCAAAGGCTTTAAGAGGTTTATCTCATTTTTTTAGAGACTAGAAAAAGTAGTTTTGTTATGAACGTTTAATGTCCCTCTCTACTTCAGTCTTTTATTTGTGCTCAGGGTATGCTGAAGTCAGTTTCATCAGCATTGTGCAGCCCTTCCCTCTTCAGCTGACAGATAATTACATTCTAGATTCCCCTTTTTTCAAACCTCACCCGAGGATATGTTTTTTTCCATTGACTTTAGAGAGACTGGAAGGGGGAGAGAGAGAGAGGAACATTGGTTGGTTGTCTCCCATACATGCCCCAACTGAGGATCGAACCCACAACCTAGGTATGTTCTTTGACTGGGAATTGAACCTGCAACCTTTTGGTGTGTGAGATGATGATCCAACCCATGGAGCCACCCGGTCAACTAGGTCCTATTTTGAATGGTACCAATGACCATCTCACTAGAATTGGGGTGCCAATTGTGAGATAATTTAGTGCCTCCAAGAAAGCAGTCAGAGTGTCAAGATCCCATTAATTGTGAGACACTTTACAGTTTCAGAGATGCTAAAACGTGAAAAAAGTACCTTTTTTAGAGTTGATCATATACAGTAAATATTTTTGCATAATATCACATTTGTTTTATTTTTTAATGGAACAGCTCAACTATATACAGAAGTAGAGAGGATAATGTAATGAACTTCTAGATACCTATCACTAGCTGCAACAGTCCCCAACCAGAACGTGGTCAATTTTTTAATTCTAGTTTTATTTTTTTAATATATCTTCATTGATTTTAGAGAGAGGAAGGGAGAGAGGTAGAAAGATAGAAACATCCACGAGAAAAACATGGATTGCTGCCTCCTTCACGCCACCTACTGGGGATTGAGCCAGCAACCCAGGCATGTTCCGTGACTGGGAATCAAACTGTGACCTCTTGGTTCGTGGGTCAGTGTTCAACCACTGAGCCACGCTAGCTGGGCGGGTCCAATTTTTATGTCATCTAAGTCCCTGTCTGCTTTCTCCTGAGTTATTTTTTTGGCAAGTCCTAGATATCATGTCTTATTTGTGTGTGAACATTTTAGTGTATATTTAATCAATAGGAGGTTTTTTTTTTTTAGAAACATGATCACCTAAAAAAATTAACAGTAATTCCTAAATATCATCTAATATTTACTTAATATTTAGATTTCTAGTATTGAATATGACCTTTCTAAAATGTGACCCACTGGTCATCTGAGATCTTAGCTTCCTGTTTTTGTAATAAGTGCTCTTCGAACCCAGATATGACCAGGCCTTCTTATAGGATTCTTTTCTTCATAAGCTTTAAAATCTCTATAAGTGAAAGGTATATTCCTGCCAAACCACTCATCAGCAACTGAAATATAGAACCAAATCATGAATTTGGACATAGATCACTTCTTTCCCTTCAGACGTGAACTGATATAATTATTGTTATTGTCTTCTTTTTCTTTCCTGGAGTTTGGCAGGTGACAGATTGGGTAGCTGCCTAAAGGGGCAGACTAGAACATGTGGGTTTGCGTGCTTTCCCTAAGTACCCTCCTCACGTGCCCCCCTCACGTGCCCACTCTTGTACCTCCCAGGTCTCCGTCCCGCCCGGCGCGCTGGACTGCTGGGTGTTTCTGAGCTGTCTGGAGGTGCTGCAGAGGATAGAAGGCTGCTGTGACCGGGCACAGATAGACTCAAACATTGCCCACACTGTGGGTTTATGGAGCTATGCCACCGAAAAGGTAACTGCCCCTGAATGCAGACATGGCCATTGTCTGTGAGCTGTGCCTCTCAGGTGGATGGACTAGCCGTTTGAAGAAGTGTTCACTCAGTCACTACATGTGTTCTAATTACTTTAGGGCGTGTTTGGATTAAATGGTTTCTACTCTTTGTTCAACCCTGATTAAACATTTGTTATGCTTGTGCTGAAGGTGTGGTTCTCTGCCAGCAATTTCGGGGGCAGGGGGTTTACAAAGAAGGATGAAGAGTGAAACGTGAGAAATGCAGCGTGGTCCCGTGTGTGCAGCACAAGGGCCTGCTGGAGTGGGTCACAGGGATGCAGATTGAGCGGGAGGCCTTGAAAACTTGGAAGAGCGTGAGCAGGTGCCTGGCATAAGCTGAGAATTACCAACTTCAGAGCTACTGTTACTGTGTTGAAGGTAGAAGTGTGAATGATCCCAATAAGTATATCTTTATATCCAGATAAGAATCATTTAGAGGAAAGCTGAATCTTTTCTAAAATTTAGTTGGATTTTAATTTTTATATGTAAATTTATAAATTCTCTGCTGACTCTTGTGGCAAACTAATTGAAATTGTGGGTTTATCTCAACAGCTAAAATCCTTGGGCTACCTGTGTGGACTTGTGTCAGAAAAAGGACCTAACTCAGAAGACCTCAATAGGACAGTTGATCTCTTGGCAGGTTTGGGAGCTGAGCGACCTGAAACAGGTACTTTCTGAGATGCACTTGTGCACGTAGCACAGTGGAAAATAATACAATGTAGGTTGTAATGGCACATGTAACTCAAATTCTAACAGTATAATTATCATTTGGGAAATTGCACTCATTAATAGCTGACCAGATTTATGTAGGATATTTTACCTTTTAATAACATAAAGAAATGTTAGAACTTGTTTAAGAAATTGTTGGAAGATTTCTCAAAACTGTGTGTGAGCTTCTCCAGGCTTACATGAGCTGATTATGACTTTACAACCCATGTGACATTTAAATGCACCAATTTCCCTGGGAATTACTAAATGATCTAGTATTCTAACAATACAGCCAGACAAATGCTTTTATGACCAGTAAGTTACTCCTAGGTAATAAAAGCACTTCGAAAGGAGCGTTACTAGTTTCTATGGGTACAAGTATAGTGATGAGTATGATTTAGCATAACAGGGACAAACTTGTAATAGCTCGTCCCTATTATCCAAGAACTGAAAGGACTCCTACTAAATTGAATACATTTACAAGGGAAAATGTATAATATTGCACTGTCTTACCCAGAGACCACCTCAAATCATTTGGCAGTAGGTAATTCATTGGAGGATTTGTAATATGTACTTTAAAAAATTCTAATCTCAAAGATTTTTTTTAAAAAGTATATGAAGGGTTTAGACTGTTTCATGCATTTATTAATTGGACAAGAATATAGATAATTATGTAGTTTTGGTTTGCACGGCTATGTGTGTAGTTTACAAGTGTTAGGTGAAATCATCTGCCTGTGGCAGGCAAGGGGCAATATAAACTCATATGTCCCGAAATAACGAAGATGAATAAGGACTCATTTCTTTTTTGTTTAAGCCAACACAGCTCAGAGTCCTTATAAGAAACTCAAAGAAGCATTGTCATCAGTAGAAGCTTTTGAAAAACACTACTTAGTAAGTATTTTATATCTTGTTCCCTGTCTACCTGTGGCAGAGAGCCCAGCTCTGGAAGACTTGCTGCCCTGTGACCTTGTGAATTGGGAATGAGCTGGACTTTGGGACTTCCTTCTTGTTGGCCTTTTCAGTTTCTTTGGTGCCCTAGGGAATTGTGGGTAAAACCTGGAAAGCTGTTGTTCATGGGGCCATACTCAGGCATAAACTTATCTTCAGATATTTATAAGTTTGTTTAAAATGGCATTGCTAATTCAGTAGGATAGAATTTGTAAAAGAGGATAGTGAATGGTTTTCCATGGACAGAGGAATAATTTGGATTTGAACAGAGCTGTTGTGCTTGTTTTTAAAGGATTTAAATTTGGAGCCTTACAAAGCAGTATAAGTAGAAGCTGGGTGAGTCAACTGCGTACCTGAGTCATGGTTAACTCAGGAGTATTAGATGGTGGCTTCTAGTAGTTTGTCCCTGTTACCCAAAGAGTGAAAGGAACACTAGAAATGTTACCATATACAGAAAGTACTTCGGCAAGCTAAATATTAAACTGCTGAGTTTGTATTTCTTTTATTATACTGCTTAATTTTATGTACAAGTTAATGATCTTGTATAAATCACATTATATGCCTTAGCTTCGTGGTCAGCAGACTGCAGCTCACGAGCCACAATCAGCTTTTTGGCCCCTTAAGTGTGGCTCTTCCACAAAATACCACGGCCTGGGCAAGTCTATTTTGAAGAAGTGGCAGTAGAGTAATTTAAAAATATTTGGCTCTCAAAAGAAATTTCAATCGTTGTACTGTTGATATTTGGCTCTGTTGACTAATGAGTTTGCCAACCACTGTCCTAGCTGGTTTGGCTCAGTGGATAGAGCAGGTCGGCCAGCAGACTGAAGGGTCCAGGTTCAATTCCAATCAAGGGCACATGCCTTAGTTGCTAGCTCCATCCCCAATAGGGGGTGTGTAAGAGACAGCTAATCAGTGATTCTCATCATTGATGTTTCTATCCCTCCCTCTCCCTTCTTCTCCGAAATCAATAAAAATATATTTTTAAAAATAATAAATCACATTATATAAAAACTCAATACAAAAGTAGATGCAAAATAAAAATAATGTTAGTATTATTTAATAACTCTTTTGCTTCAGCTTGGGGTAAATAAATGTGGGATGTGTCTAGTATTAAAGTTGAAGTACAACCTTATGTGGTGTTTTATTTTCCCACAGGATCTGTCCCACGCTACCATTGAAATGTATACAAGTATTGGGAGGATTCGATCTGCTAAGTTTGTTGGAAAGGATCTGGCAGAATTTTACATGTAATTGATTTTCTTTGAATTTCACACCTGTAGTAAGAGGAGATTTGTTATGTATGTAGTTAATGTGAAGTGTACACATATTTATAGAATGAAAGATTAAAATCTCTTAACCAATCATCATTTTTTTCAATTTCTTCTGAAAACCAAATGGAGAGGTTTTCACCTTGTTATTCTTAATAGCTGATAACTGATCTTTGCATTCCTTTTATTAAATTAATATAATGATCTTATGTAGTATATGTAACATGGTATATATGTAAGTATTATATGTAAGATATAGTATTATAATTACATTTATTCAGTTAAAACATTATGAGGAGATGCTTAAGATTGTACATCCAGTGTTTACTAAGTTGGGGTGTAGATTCTTAAATATTTTGTTCTATAGCATTTTCTCTAGTTTATGTCAAATGCCTCCTAGGAGTTTGAAAGCCTGGAGGCCAGTGATGTAAAGTAACTGCATGTATTCTGTTGGGAGAGAGGATGACCATGACGGAGTGATGTGTACACATGCAGGGAGTATTCCCAGTCTTGCTCCAGCTTTAGACTCAGATTTCACAGGAAAACGCAAGACAGCATATTTCTCATGTGTTTGATAAAACTGGCCTGCCACAAAGAAGAAATCCTAGCTGGCAGTGTCATTGCTATTTGAAAGCATTGGAAAGAAATATACATTGTATAAGGAAAAATATATTTACGTTTTCTCAAAAGAAATGTGTGTTTGAAATGAAATCTTGAAATCTGTAGTATTTTCATTAGGTGAAACAGTTTTTTTTTCAACTGATTGGAGTGGCTGCAGAAGGAATTCGTAGGCCATCTAAGTGAACTTAAGTTTTCTAGCTTTGCTCAGAGCAGCTAGCTAGTCACACCACTGATTAGCAACAGTCAGGGCTGACTTGGCGCTCTAGAGCCTCCATCTAGTGCATTGCAGGAGTAAGCTATTAGTGGAGCAAAGGAGCCGTGTCTGCAGATGCTGTGAGTGGTGCCCACCTGGACATTAGTCTGCTCTGAGGCTGGGAGCTACAGTGGCTAATTGGGTCCTGGCTTCACCTTGGCCACATACTAGCTGGGTGACCACTGGCCTCCATCTCTGGGGGCTGAATGATGGTCTGTAGACTTCCAACTCTAGAATGTAAGAATCTTTAGCTAGAGATAGTAACTGAAGAAGTATTGAAAGTTTGGACCTCTTTAAAAAGGAGTGGAATGGGAGAGGACCATAAAAGTGTAGAAAAACAAACACATGCTTTGATAGGTTTATATTTTATTTGATTTGAGAATTTGAGAAGTGTCATTGTTTCAAGAATAGGGCAGTAAAAATGAGGTGTCTTCCAAGGATGCCTATTTAGTCTTAGCCTCTTGTCCCGTGAGTTTGGTGGTCCCCGCCCTTTGGTGAGGGCCAAGGGACCCAGGTTGTCTTGGAGGCTTTCGCAAGCTCCTGCTAATTGTGCTTTCAATTTTGTTTTATTTGGAACATCTTGAAGGTTTAAATTGGGAAGATCCTCTCTTGAGTGATAGTGTTGCTATTAAATTCTTCATAATTCTCTGTAAATCTTGGAAACCTGCTCAGTGCTATTTGCCCAAGCTCCCTTCTTGGTTGGGCCATATAGAATGCTTCTATATTTCCTATCTTCAGTAAGTAGGTGGCACCAAGCCCTGGTTTTGTAGCTTCCTTTCTAACTAGTTGTGTACCTTCACCTCCTCTTACCTTTGGTATTCTTATATGTCAGCTTGAGATAGTGAACAGTGCCCTCACTTTCTTCTCCTGAGAGTCGACTATAAAAGTTCTTTAGTGTATGATGCTGAGCAAATGGTGTGGGATCATCATCGCCAGGAGCCCATTTTCGGGCCCAGGGGTGTATTCCTGATCCTGTGCTCTTCCTCAGACCAGGGCACGTCTCAGAGAAGGACTGTCTAAGATGGAACAAAGGTCATTGTGGAGGGCTGGAAAGGGGGGAGAGCAAGTCATGAAAATTATGTCTATGTTTGTTGATTATCATGAACCATAATGAAAGCTTCTATTTGTTGATTTGCAAGGAAGAAAAGGTCTCCACAGAAGGCAGAAACCTATCTTCAAGGAGCACTGAAGAATTACCTGGCTGAGGGCTGGGCACTGCCTATTACACACACAAGGAAGCAGTTGGCCGAATGCCAAAAACACCTTGGACAGACTGAGAAGTATCCTTTAAGTGTAGCATTTCCATGAAATAGGAAAATTTGTTTTTCAAATTGCAACCATGTCTACAATTGAATGTTCAATAAACACCTAATAATTAGAGAGAAAAAGCCAACCTGTACATAGGTACCATGTTCAATGTAAGTTAAATGCCTAGTCCTCACATTTTACCTCTTTCTGAGTTCCTAATACTTTAAAAAAAAATACATTTTTATTGATTTTTAGAAAGAGAAGAAGGGAGAGGGATAGAATGATAGAAACTTTGATGAGAAACATTGATTGGCTGCCTCTTGCACACCCCCTACTGGGGATTGAGCCAGCAACCCCGATATGTGCCCTTACTGGGAACTAAACCTGTGACCTTTTGGTTTATGAGTCTGCTCAACCACTGAGCTGAGCTGAGTTCCTAATAATTAAAAAAAAAAAAGGGGTGGGGTGGGGGGGGGGGGAATGAATACCTGTTAAACTGCACTTTGAAAGCTCTGGGGCCTGGAGAAGCCGTCTGCATGCAACACCCCTTGGTATAAGGTCCTCTGTGCAGGCCCTTGACTCTCCATCCCAGCTACCTTCAGACCAGTAGCCTTTTAGCCAGCGATCATCACTTAACTGAAGAGGAACGGAAATACTTCTGCCAAGAGATACTCAACTTTGCCAGTGAACAGACAGATAGCCCAGGTAAGGCTAATTGTTACAGCTTTTTATTGTGAACATTTTCAACTATTACGAAATGTAAAAAGAGTATACAATGTATAATATATACTAACCACCTGGATTCAATAACTAGTAATACTTTGCTGTGTAGCCAACATGTATCTATATATTTCTTTTTACTTTTTTCTTTTTTGCTAAACTTCAAAGCAACCTGAGACCAGGTATAATACTTCACCCTGAAACAGTGTAGCATGCATCTTGGAGGACAAGGATAGCCCCCTAATCATGCTCAAATTGGCAGGGTTCTAATTTCCTGGTATTCAGTAGCTCAAATTCAATTCTCCTCATCGTTTTTATACATTATTTTTAGTAGAGTCTAATCAGGGATCATATATTACATTTGATTGTTGTATCTGAATTCTCCTTTAACTTAGAAGTTTTTCCCATCTTTTTTCAAGACATGGATCGAAATTTTTTAATATCTCAGCTATTTTGAGATAGGTTTTACATACCATAAAATTTACTGTTTTGCAGTGTACAATTCAACACCTTTTAGCATACCAGTATTCATAGATATGTGCGCATCACCACAATCTGCTTTCTGTCTCTAGATACTATTCTGGATATTTCATGTGAATGGAATCATATAATATGTGTTTTTTTGTGCCGGGCTTTTTTTCGTTCAGCATAATGTTTTCAAGATTCATCCATGTTGTAATGTATCAGTATTTCATTCTTTTTTTATGGCTAATAATATTCCATTGGATGGATGGCCCACATTGTGTGTATTCCTTTATCGGTTGTGTGTAAGACACTGACTTTTAGACATCGAGCCAGACATAATGGACTGTCCCACCTTCTGGAATTTGTTCAGTGTTTCCTCATGAGAATGTCCAACAGAATGTTGTTACAAAAGGCTAAGATTCAAGCTAAACCTTTTGGCAAATATATTTTATAACTGATCTTGTATGGTAGGATTGAATTTATTGTAACACTTAGCTCCTGGGGTTTTGTTTATCAAGAAGAGTACTTATTTAAAATAGTACTGTCTTTTTTTTTTTTTTTTTAATCCCCACCTAAAGGGATTGTTCCCATTTATTTTCAGAGAGAGTGAAAGGGAGAGAGGGGGGGAAAGAGAGAAACATTGATGCAGAGAGACCCATTGACTGGCTGCTTTTCACACTGACCAGGGCCGCAGAGTGAATCTGCAATTGAAGAACATGCCCTTACCTGGGAATTGAACCACGACCCTTTGATCTGTGGGCAGACACCAACCACTGTGCCAAATGGCCAGGACTGAGATAGTACTGTCGTGGTCAGCTCTGGTGGCCATCACAAAATGCCACGGATGGATGTTTAAGCAGCAGGTGTTTATTGTCTCACAGCTCTGGAGGTTGGAATCTGAGACCAAGATGCCGCCAGGATTTGTTGCTGATGAGGCCTCTCCTCCTGACTTATCCTTACATGGCAAGGAGAGAAGGTGCTAGGGGCTTCAACTTTAGACTGTGAGGAGAGCATCGTTCAGTCCATAGCAGTTACTAACTACTTGAAAGCCAGTATTTCATAGGTTTTGGTTTCAGGTCCATATGATCATTGACTGCTGGCTTGTTTCACTCACATTGAGCTGTTCGGATGGGTTTCTCAGGAGTAATATGGCCTTGACTAGTTGGTTCTGTAATGTGCCCAAACTAGCTATTGGTAGAGCCTTATGCTATGTCGCTGTGTGTGACATATATGTGAGACTATGCAGTATGTCTTTCCTGCCAATGTTCTTGGGTATCTCTGTGTGAATAGGCTATTCCATAATCATCTGCTATTTTTTTTTGTGTGTGTGATTTTATAGCACCACCATCAGCAAGTTCTTTTGTTGATTAGTGTTTAATAAATACCACTGCTCAGTCCGGCAGCCCTGTGGATTTTCTAGAGTAACCAGGTGCTTGTAGAAAGGAGGTCAGAGAAAGCAGTGGGTTCCTCTTGGTTAGTGACTGTGGGCTGGGGTTGCACTGCCCCCTGCAGTTCAGGAGGCGGGGCTCCTCGCTCAGTGGGCTGACATCATAGGCCGGCAAACACCTGGGTTTGTTTCCTGATACACAGGGATGGTGGACATCTTCATTTGGGAATTTTGCTATGGAGGTGGAAAGTGGTGGAATTCCTTGAAACAGCGCTGGGAATTAATTGTACCATTTAAAAAACGTTGTTTTGGCCCTGGCCAGTGTGCTCAGTTGACTGAGCATCATCCCATGCACCAAAAGGGAGGTGCCTCGATTCCTAGTCAGAGCACATGCCCAGGTTCCAGGCTTGATCCCTTAGTAGGGAACGAGCCAGCAGCAGCTGATCAATGTTTCTCACATCAGTGTTTCCCTCCCCCTCCCCGTTCCCCTTCTTCTCCCATTCAAAATGTTTTGAAATTGAGGAGTTGACCTGTATTTCTCTTTGGTTTATCAAAACAGAACTTAGAAACCATGATTCTTCGGGTTCTTTGATTTCCAGGCGTTGCCTAGGCATTTGATATGTTCTGCTTTTGACAGTGTAATTATTCAGTGTGTGAAGATGGTATGAGATTGGGTAGTTTTAAACTGTCTCATTTGAACTCACTACTTCTTACTTCTCATGTTGAGATACTCCAGTTGGCCCAGTGGTAAACAAGGTCCTGCTGCCTCTGCATCTTCTAGAAGTGTGACTTGGGAAGCAAAATATGCTGCTCTGTATTTGCAGGTCACAAAGTTGTCCTCCCTATGCATTCTTTTGCACACCTGAGAGATCTCCGTTTCACTCCCTCCAACGCTGTGGTACACGTGGGTGGTGTTTTATCCGTGGAGATAACTGTATGCAGTCAGATGCCCGTCCCTGTCCACATGGACCAGATCGCCATCAGCGTCCACTTCAGCATAGAGAAAAACAGTTACCGGAAGACTGCTGAGTGGCTTACCAAGCACAAGACGTCCAATGGGGTTATTAACTTTCCAGTGGAAACCTCGCCTTTCCCTGCGTCCCAAAACAGTTTACCAGCTCTGGAGTTGTTTGAGATGTTTGAGAGGAGCCCCTCGGATAACTCCTTGAACACCACAGGGATTATATGCAAAAATGTCCACATGCTCCTGAGACGGCAGGAAAGCAGCACTGCTCTGGACACGCCCTCAGGGGTGGCTCTGGATGACGGGGCCCCTGTGCTGAAGTGCTGCAGTGTGACTCTAGAACCAGGGCCCAATACCATAACCTTCAGGACACAGGTATGTGTTGAGTTGGGGAGGTAACTTCATAGGTGGTCAGCAGGGGGCGCTGGCCTGCAAGAATTATCTGAAGTGGTGGGAATCAAGTAGAGGCCTCTGTTCTTTTAACCTTGATAATGTTTTCTCCTTAAAGAAAAATAGGCTGACAGTTAAAATAATTTTTATACTTATACAGTTTTAAGGCAATTGATAACTTTGAATGAAGTGCTTAACATAGTTGTGTTCTCACTGGGCTTAGATTTTTTGCCTTTGTTTTAAAATATACCCTCATTTGTTAAAATGAGATTTCAAAGAAGGTAGCATCCTTGATGTTAAAGTTTATTTTCCTTTTGTGACTCATGACTGTCAAAGCAGTTGCTTCTGATTCACTGACAGTCTTTCTCCAATGCAGTGTGTCCTATAATTCCTACTAATTAGGGGTGTGGCCTCTGGGGAGGACAGCTATTTGTCACATGTTTTAGTCTTGTCTGAGAGCAGGTTTTACATCTCATGCATTCAGAAAAGAATGCCACAGATAAAGTTTATTAAATTGAAAATTCATTATTAGAAGTCAAGTTTAAATCCCAGTTACTCAGAAAGATGTCAATAAACTTTTTAGGGCCTTTTGCAGAACAGCCTGCCTGTAGACACATGAGCAGAGAGCAGTAAGATAATGAGGGTAAAAGAACAACCAATTCATGGATAATGGTACTTCCACCTCCTGTTCTTCGGGTGCTTGCAGCTGGGAAAGGGGTGATGACTTTCCAAATGCTTGATTTGACCATAGGCCAAGGAGCCTGGAACGTACACACTGCGGCAGCTGTGCGCCTCAGCGGGCCTGGTGTGCTTCGTGCTTCCGCACCTCTACCCACTGGCGCAGTACGACGTGTACTCCCAGGAGCCACAGCTGCATGTGGAGCCGCTGGCCGGTGAGTGGGCTGCACAAGGCGGGATTGTGGGGTCAGGTTTGCAGTTCTCTCCTTTCGAAGGAGCCTGTGAAAGCAGAGCTTTCTGCACCAGCGGACTTGCAGCACGTTGTAGCTGGGTTCCTCTGTCAGAGATGTTTGGGGTAGCATCAAGGGAATCTTGCCTGGCTATGACTTTTCTGCTCATCGAATATTTGCATTCTGTAAATGCTAACTTTCATGTTTAATAAGCATGGTATATCAAAACGTAAAAAAAAAAAAAGAGAGAGAGAGAAAAATGAGCTATCAGTTAATGTCTACTATAGAGAACTTAATTAAATTTCTTGCTTAGCGTTTCATTACAAAGGCTAAATGCCAGATTTAGTTACATTTCATACTCTGATCAAAAGTATTTTCCTTTGAAAGTGTTGATTAAACTTGATCTCCTAGCATGGTATTTGAGAAATTCAAAGCTGCTGTCCTCTTTATTAAGTTCTAAAATTAGAAAGAATTGGTGTAAACAAATGATTTAAAATCACACATGAATTAAAACAGTAAAACAGAATGTCTTAGTTGTTTAGGCTGGAATAATGTATTTATTGGCTTGTTTCTTCCATTTGAAAAAACCCACAAAGAAAGCTTTTTTTTTTTTTAATTGAATCTCCCCATACTTTCTGTTTGTGCTTTTAAACTTCTCCATGGCCATCAGGAAAGGCCCTCAGATGCTGAACACAGCAGTCTCTCAAATGATTCTATAGTCAGAGAACCTTTTGTGAAAAAGGCTAAGCTTTGTTGCTACAGAGCCTGGAATGTGCCCAGTGAGACCAGCCAGCTGTGCTCAGGCCTCCTGCTGCGGCCCCTCACTCCTCTTGCCCCATGCCTTCCCACCTCTCTCTCTTGTCTGTCTCTTTCTTTTCCATGTTTCTTATCTCTTGCCATCTTCCTTGCACCTTTCCTGGAATGGGATTCTCAAAAACCTTAGCTCATTTTTATGTTAAGAGAGACCAATAGCCATCCCTTTAACTAAGTTGTTTATAAGCCCAAGATCTTACAGGCCTAATCTGAAACAGCCAGAGAAAATTCTGAATAGCAATAGCAATGCAATTTCATCAGTCTGTTCTTTAAAATATATATATATATATATATATATATATATATATATATATATATATATATTGATTTGAGAGAGAGAAATGTCAGTTTGTTGTTCTACTTATTAAGCACTCATTGGTTGATTCTTATATGTATTATACTATGACCAGAAATCAAACCCTAACCTTGCTGCTTTACCAACTGAGCTAACAGACCAGGTCTCATGAATCTGTTATTTAGTGTCATTATCTGGTTGTCTCTTACTTATTGGCAGATAAAATTTGAGCCCCTCATTCTTGGTTGTCACTGTGATCCCTAACTCTAAGCCATTGTGATGATGAGACCCCTCAGACTCAAAGCTTCTCTTCTCAGCAAGGGCCCTTCAACCCTGCAGTCTGTGTAATTGAGATTAAAAGTGAGAGTGGAGGGATGGAAACAGTGAATTTGAGGAGTATCTGAAGTGAACAAATCTTTTCTAGTAGAAAAAACAGTGCTTTTTTTGTTGTTTTGTTTTTATTTATTTTTTAAGTGTATTTTAGCCTTATACTAGTTCCTCCATTGCTATTTTTGGTTGAGAGTGATGCTAAATGCAGTCTTTTTCCCTTTAGATAGCCTTTTAGCTGGTATTCCTCAGAAGGTCAAGTTCACTGTCACTACTGGCCATTATACAGTAAAAAATGGGGACAGCCTCCAACTCAGCAATGTGGAAGCCATGCTCATCCTGTGCCAGGCAGAGAACAAAGCCGTGATCTATTCTAACACGAGAGGTAAGGGGTGTCACCTAGCAAAGGTGGACTCTCAGCATTGCTTGCCGTGCATCATGAGGATGTAAGGAGCTGCCATCCCTTTCATCCTGCTCTGTCTACAGCTCTTCCCTGGCAGCTTTCTGCCTGTGGGTGGGCGGTGACCCTGCCCCTGGGTGGGGCGTCACATATCGGGAGGATAAACAGAGCTGTGCACGTGCTCACTGCCAGGGGGAGCTGACCCTGCTAGGACTTTGGATGCAGCATGGGCCCGTGCTTGATAGTGACACCCGTGGGCCTGCAGCCTCCTAGAACCCTCCCCGCTTTCCTCACCAAAAAGCAGAAGTAAACCGGCCTTTTTAGGCAGAGGCCAGAGGCCTAAAATAGCCTGTCTCCCTGTCCTCAGCTGTGAGTTATGGAGGGAAGGACACTGCTCCCTTTCTGAAGGGAGCTGGTCTTGCAGTGTGACCGAGTGGGAGCACGTTGTGCAGGGACACACTCAATGCTCTTCTGTATTCAGACTGAGCACAATGACAGCTTTGTGGCCTGGGACCTGCTGGCTTTCATGCAGTGTGACTGTCTTAGGGGGCTTTGCTCCTGATTTCCCTGCCTCTTCAGTCCCACCTTGATCCTGTCTGTGCTTTGATGTGTATAGGAGCAGTGGGAGTTGGGCTGGAACTTCACTGCTGGACCCATCACCTGCCAGAAGGAAAAGGAACAAGGAAACAGAAGGAATGTGTTTGAAGTGACTTTTTCTATCTTTCCTAGAAAAGGCTTCTGATGCATCCCTCCGGGTTCAGTCGTCTGACAAGGTCACAAGCATCAGTCTGCCTGCAGCGCCTGCATACCACATGATCGAATTTGAACTTGAAGTTCTGTCTTTACCTTCAGCTCCAGCAGCTGGAGGGGAGGGGGAGAGCACCATGTTGGGGATGTCAGAGGCCCAGAGGAAGCCTAAGGACACACAGAAAGCCGGCCACTGCATGGCTACCACGGACCACAAAGTAAGGAGGGATGACTCCAGTTCCTGATGCCACACACTCTTGTTGTGTTTAGCACTTTTATCTGTGAATCACCCCTTCTTTGATAATGGGTACATCTTGGAAAGACAAAGACAAACAGTTCTAACCTTCCTATCCCAACTCAAGAGGGAAGGACAGTTTATTATGAAAGATGGTGTTTGCTTAGGGGTTTCACATCAAACTTAGCAAGGAAAAAACTGGTACTTATTGAAAGTAATTTGAGTGATCCTTGACTTTGGTCCCAGATCCACAGTCCATCAGCTCACAGAATGTGTAGCTAGCATTGTATTGATTCCAGGTGGGTCTGTGTTTTGTGACACCGATATCGGTTCTGAGGGCTTCTGACCAGCTCAGGTATTGAAGTGTATTCTTCTGGCTGCATGAATAAAATCAAGACCCATCTGTATGCTGCCTATAGCAGACTCACTTTAGATATAAGGATATACACAGACTGAAAGTGAAGGGATGGAAAAAAAATATTCCATGCAATTAGATATCAAAAGAAAGCTGGAGTAGCTCTACTGATTTTAAACAAAATATACTTTAAAAAGTATATTTTTTAAATAAAAAGACTGTAATAAGAGACAAAGATGGGCATTACATAACAATAAAAGAAATTAATTCAAGGAGGAAATATAACATTTATAAACCCAAAATAGGAATACCTAAATATATAAAGCAAATATATAAAGCAAATATTAACAGACCTAAAGGGAGAAATAGATAGCAATTCAATAATAGTAGGGGACTTACAACCTCACTTACATTAATAGATAGATCATCCAAATAGAAAATCAGTAAGGAAATGTTGCTCTTAAACACATGAGAGCAGATCACGTGTAAGCAGAACATTCCATCCAAACGCAAAAGATACATGTTCTCCAGTGCATACAGAACATTTCCAAGGTAGATCATGTTAGATCACAAGTCTTACTACATTTAAGAGTATTGAAATCATATCAGGCATCTTCTTCACCACAATGGTATGAAACTAGAAATTACATGAAGAAAACTGGAAAATTCACAAATGTGTAGAGATTAAACAACTTGCCATTGAACAGCCAATGTGTCAAAGAAGAAACCAAAAAAATACCTTGAGACAAATGAAAATGGAAATGTAACATACCAAAATTAATGGGCTGCAACATAAGCAGTTCTAAGAGGGAAGTTAATAGTGATAATTACTTATCTCAAGAACCAAGAAAGTTGCAAATAAGCAACCCACCTTTATACCTGAAGGAACTAGAAAAAGAACAGACAGCCCAAAGTTAGTATAAGGAAGGAAATAAAAATCAGAGCTAAAATAAAAGAGAGAGACTAAAAAAAAATCCACTAAAATTGAGTTCTTTTTTGAAAAGATAAAATTGACAAACATTTAGCTAGATTCACCAAGAGAAAAAGAGAGGACTAATAAAACCAGAAATTAAAGAGAAAATGTTACAGCTGATACCATGGAAATACAAAGGATTCTGTGATGAACAATATGCCAATAAATTGGACAACCTAGAAAAAATGGGTAAATTTGTAGAAATATACAACCTTTCAAGACTGAATCATATGAAATAGAAAATATAGTAAGGAGATTGAGTGATGAAAAACCACCCAATGAAAGTTGAGGATAAGATGTTTTCACCTAGTGAATTCTACCAAACATTCAAAGGAGAATTAATGCCAATCCTTCTCAAACTCTTTCAAAAAGTAGAAGAGGAAACACTTGCAAACTCATTTTACGAGTCCAGCATTACCCTGATAGATACCAAAGTCAGAAAAGCTGCCATAGGAAAGAAAACTACAGGCTAATATTCCTGATGAAGGTAGGTGCAAAACTCCTCAACAAAATGTTAACAAACCAGATTCAACAACCATATAGGATCATAAATCCCTCTGTGATCAAGGGGGATTTAGTCCAGGGATGCAAGGTGGGTTCAAATCTGCAAACCAGTTGGTGGGATATACATCACCAAAATGGACAAAATTATGTTATCTCAATAGATGCAGAAGAAGCATTTGACAAAAATTAGCATCCATTTATGATAAAAACTCTCAACAAAGTGGGTATTGAAGGAGCATACCTCAACATAATGAAGACCATATGACAATCCCACAGCTAATGTCATACTCAGCAGTGAAAAGCTGAAGATTTTTTCTCTAAGATCAAGAACAAGACAAGGATGCCCACTCTCACCACTCTTTTTGAACACAGTATTGGGTGTCTAAGTCAGAGCACTTAGTCAAGATAAAGAAATCAAAGGCATACAGATTGGAAAGGGAGAAAAGAAACTATTTGCAGATGACATGATCTTATATATAGAAAATCCTAAAGACTGGATAAAAAAAACAACCTGTTAGAACCACTTATGGATGAATGGATAAAGAAGTGATAACACGCTCAGGGGGTATTATTCGGCCATGAAAGGAACGAAGTCCTGCTATTTGCAGCAATACACGTGAATCTCAGTGGTATTATGCTAAATGAAATAAATTAGATAGAGAAAAGGAAATGCTGTATCTTCTCTTGCAAATGTGGAATCAAAAAATATTCAAAAACACCTTGCAGATACAGAGAACAGTTTGGTGGTAGTGGGTGGGAGCAGTGGTTGAACTGTTTTTTGTTTTAGTTGAACTGTTTTTAGTTAAATGATACGTTTTAAAAAGTATATGCACAAAAGGCTAATAAATGCGGTCATTTCAAAAAGAGGCATAGAATATCAGACCAGTCAGCACCTAAAGAATAATGTTTTAATTTTTCAGTCTCTGAAATGTTTTTCCTCACCCGATACAGAGTTCAGGAGACAAAGGTGATGTTTATTTCAATTAAGAGCATATAGTCTTATATGCTGAATGAGTGAGTTTCCATATTCAATATATTTGTTTGTTAAGTGGGGGAAATAAATTGAAGCTTGAGGCCTGGTTTCTGCCCTTACAGTAATTAATAGCTTTGTCCACACTGTGACTACAAATTGATTGGTTTTCAGCTATGCATTCAGTGTCATGTGGGTTAAGTGTTTGAACAATTCATTTAATTTTGTAATACCATCTGGACATAAGTGATTAAAAGCACTTTGTCCTAACCTCCTCATGGCCACATGTGGAGGATAGTGAGGTGGGACTTGTGTGCTTGCTGCAGCCTCTGTTCCGCAGCTATTGAAATCGTTTTGATGACTCCTGGACGTTCTGCCAGTCCCGTGTCCATTTTTATTGACTGTGTATGTAGCTTTGTGTCTCTCCTATGTTTGTGCATATGTTTAATGGGGTTTTCCTTCTGAATAAGGAATTGTAAAGCTATCAAGCATGTAGGAAATTGGTAGCCCCCATAGATTTGATTTTTCAAGATCTTGTTTGTATTCTTTCTTAAGTAATTTTACTTTTTTTTTTTTGCTCTCACTTGATTTCTTCACATTGAGAACTTCTTTGGTTTCTTCCTCCTTGTCCTGGGAGCTCAGCAGGTTGGCCTGTGGCACCCCTTTGTTCTCCACAGGCTCCTGCGCTGCTTCAGCCTGTTGCCGGGACGGCGCTGCCCAGGAAGCAGCCCCCGGCCTTGGCTCCATTGCCCGAGCTCAGTGGTCAAAGGCTCAGGGGCACCCACGCCCCCAGGGGCCCCGTGGCCCGCCTCCTTGCTGGTGCCCGGTTGGCTGGAGTCCGGCAGGGGCTTCCGCTCCCCTCCGCGTTCCCCCAGCCTAGAGCTTTTTTTTTCCTCCTTCCCGCTAGGGAAGTCCAGCATCAGAGTCAACAGACTGTCCTCTGCGCGCAGTTTGCGCGAGTCCCGGGAGCCCGGCCTTTCGCCGCTCTCCCCAGACTCCACCTCACAGCCCCGTCTCCCTCTGCCTGAGCCTGGGTCCCCAGGGATTAGCCCAGAACTGGGGTTCGGAGCAGTCCGGACTGAGGCCCAGCGCCGCCGGAGGCCTTGTTTCTTCCGGCTAGGGCAACCCAGCCTCAGAGTCAACATTCAGTCCTCTGCGCGCATTGCGCGCCACTCCCGGGGCCCTGCTTTTCGCCGTTTTTCCGCCTCACAGCCCCGTCTCCTCCTGCCGGAGCCTGGGTCCCCAGGGTCTGGCTCATAACTGGGGCTCAGCGCTGCCGGTTCGGGGGGGCTCAGCGCTGCTGGTTCGGGGGTTCAGCCCAGGCTGGGGGTTTTATTTGCTTCCTGCTAGGGAAGGAAAGGCGGCTCCCCGCCCTCTCCTCCTCTCCGGCTGCGACCTCTCCGTGCGCGCGTGCGGGCGGGCAGGCGCGCGCAGCATGTCTCCGTACCTTAGGTTTTTTTTCAGCTCCTCTGATTTTCCTTCTGGTTTTCTCTTTCCTTCTTGTTGTAGAATTTTCAGTCAGTCGACTACCTGTAGCTCTGGGCAATGTCCACTCTACATTTTAGTTGTATTCCATTGAAATTGTTGTGTGCTGCCGCGGCTAGATGTCTACCCAAGCAGCCATCTTGGATATCCAAGACCACACATCCCCCATAGATTTGGATGGATGGTAGTGGTGCTGTGCCATTGGTTTATAATCTGAACAGGTGTCTCTCTGTTTCCCAGGTGTCCATCGAGTGCCCGTGGTCCATCTACTCCACTGTCATCGCACTGACGTTCAGTGTGCCCTTCAGGACCACACATGCTGTGCTGTCAGCCGGGACACGGTGAGTCCCTGCTTCTGTCCCAGGCTCTTTGACACAGAGATCCTGCTGTTGAGAGCTTGCCTTGGTGACCTTGAGCATGTTTTGTTACATGACCGTGATGCTGTTGTCCACTACAGTACCCAGTCTATACTGAGATCTTCCCAGCTGTCTCAGTAGTGGTCTGCACAGCTGGTTTGTGGGAGAGGGCATCCAACCAAGTGCCCTTGATATTATCAGATCCTTTTTATCTGTCCTTGCCTTGTTCTTCAAGCCCATGACCCATTGACAAACATGGGCCACTTGTCCTCTAGAAGGTCCACATTCTGCGTTTGCCTGGTCATATCCTCATGGGTTTGTTAAACTGGTTCCTCCAGAACCTCTAGCTAATTCTAGAGCAGGCCTTTTCAGCCTCAATGCTGCTGATGCTGTGTGGCGATTACCCTTGCTCTGGGCACTGTCCTGCGCACTGTAGGGTGTTAGCTGCTCATCGTTTTATGCCAACGTTACTCCCCATCCTGCACACCCATAATGTGACAACCAAAAAATGTCTCCAGACATTTCCCAATGATCCCTGGCTGGAGTGTGTGGGGGAATTGCTGCCAGTTGAGAACCTCTGCGCTTGAGGCTTGATCAGATTCAGAGTCAGTTCTTGGAAAAAGTGGGAATCTTTGAGATGTGTCCTGTGCTTCATATGTCACTGCATCACAATCCCCAGTCAGTGATGATGCTCACATGACCATTGGGCTTAGGTGAGCCTGGCCTCCATTGTAATATCCCCTTCTGCTTCAGCCATGGCTTATTTGGATAATTTGGAAACAAAAATGTCAGAATCATATTTATTTATTTATTTGAGAACTTTTAAGATTTATTTTTAAGCAAAATAGTGAAATACTTAGAGCTCACCTGTGAGGTAGTGAGGTTTTTTTTAAATTAAATTTATTGGGGTGACATTGGTCAACATGAAGATATAGGTTTCAGAACCATATTTAGAGTGGACTATTATTTAAAGGGAAAAATAGCTATTAGAATGACAGTGAGGGAACTGTGGATAATAATGATTAAAAACATCAATAGTTTTGGCACTTCTGCGAACATTGCGCTCCAAGCATATGGTCCTCGGCCTGCAGCCGTTAGTGCCTGCCACACCATGCATACCACAGCCCTGGGGCCTGAGGGCAGTTGCTGTCCTGAGGCTGCACACCAGCCCCAATGTGCTCTTGGTGTGTCGGTTCACAGAGAAACATGAATGGATGGCAACAGAAAATGGAATTGAAACAGTGGGAATCATCCATTTTGCATAGGAAGCTTTGGGAAATGTCCTCAAGTAGGGACAAAATTGAACAAACCAGATGAGTTCGGTGCTTTGGAAAACGTGAAAGCTGCTAATGAACTCTATTCTCCTCTATTAGAAGTAACTAAGATTAATGAAGATCTTGGAAAAAATCCAGGACTTGTCAACAAATCCCATCTAATAAAAGAATAATATGCAAATTAACTGTCACTTCATGATAAAGCTGGCAGCGCCCACAGCCAATTAGGAGGGAATGTGCAAATTGATGTTACAAAGTTGGTGGCATTGGCCAGAGGCAGTTAGGGGCAATCAGGCCAGGAGGGGAGGGCAGTTGAGGGTGATCAGGCTGGTGGTAGGGGTAGTAGGGAGCAGGCAGGCTGGCGGGGTGGGGGGAGCATTTGGGGGTTAGCAGGCTGGTGGGGGTGGCAGTTGGGCATGTGCAAGCCAGTGGGGGTTGGGGGAGTAGTTATGAGCAATCAAACCAGCAAGGAGCAATAGAGGGTAAGCAGGCCAACAGGGGGGGCAATTGGGGGCAAGCAGCCTGGCAGTGGGGTGTAGTTGGGGGTGATCAGGCCATCAGGGATGGCAGTTGGGGGTGAGCAAGCTGGCAGGGGGCAGTTGGGATCAGGCTGGTGGTGGTGGTGGGGAGTTGGGGTTAGGCCAGCAAGAGGGGGCAGTTGGGGGTGAGAAGGCCGGTGGGGGTGGCAGTTGGGGGTGAGCAGGCTGGCAGGCAGAGTTGTTAGGAGCCAGTGGTCTTGGATTGCTAGAGACCGGCAGTTGGACATCCCCCAAGGGGTCCCAGATTAGAGAGGGTGCAGGCCAGGCTGACGGACCCCTCGCCCCCTGCACAAATTTCATGCACCAGGCCACTAGTCTTATCATGAAGATGGTTGGGTGATCAAGATGACACTGAGAACTAGAGAACTAATGAGGGAAGAAGCATATGAGAAATATATAAATCTATTGAGGATGAAAAAAAATACACCCTAAATGAAGTAGCATGAAATAACTTTATCTAACATAGTTGTCTTAAATTAGTGGTAGAAGATAGCAAATTTTAGTAATAGCATGAAAAAATAAATCACAGCAATGCTATTGGAAGAAAATACCTCTAGTTTTTTAATGATTGCAGATAAAGACATTATGTATCTTTTCCCAGCACCATATGATTTTTAGGCCAGGCTACAGTTATAATATTCATAATTCCTAAAGTTATCTGTGTTAAAACCTAGTTATAAAAATTTTGTATTTTGAGGATAACATTATTATTGTAAGCCCTTATAGAATATTGTAACTTACTTACATTAGTCTCTAGATTTGGGTCAAAATACTTAATGATTGGAAATAACTAGCAGTAGGGAAAAGTTTTTGTTAGTTATTACAGTTTCAGATGATGCACAATACTATCTTAATTTTGCAGCATACTGAGGTTGCTGGTGCTGTTTTACACAGTATAGTAGCAGCCTTTCAGGAAATAAAGTTCAATAATAAAACATTCAACTTCTTCATTTAAAAAAACAAAACAATTTTTAGCAGAATTTTAGTTTCTTTAAGAACTGTCTTTTCTAAACTCCTCTTTACCTGTAACAGAAGCTAAAGTGAGCCCTGTATTTAGTTTCTCAGTGAGTAATCATTACTTGTGATCACTACTTTCCTGCCTAACTCATTTAGATCCATTGTATGTTTAGGGAGCTCATTTATAATTGTGTAGTAATACTGTGTCCGAATCAGAATGTTCTTTCATCCTTTTTTTTTTTTTTCTTAGAAATAGTTCACTTAGGAAGATTTATATTTTCTGACCCTTTTACATATGAAATCAAAAGTAGGAATGTAACAACTAGGTCTTATTTATTTCCCTGTGTCACTTTTTTGATTCCCCAGAGAGGGTCTTGTTAACAAAGCCAAAGTATGTTTCATAAAGTTCTTAAATGTCAAAGCCATATTTTTTGTTTTTCTGCTTTAGGAAATATATTCAAGTTTGTGTCCAGAATCTGTCGGAACTTGACTTTCGCTTGTCAGATAGTGATCTTGTAGACACTGGGGATAGTACTGGCCTGCAGCTACTGCCATTGAACACGAAATCCAAGCAGGTAACCATCTTCTAGAATTGAGCATGAACTGGTCAGAACACAGGAGAACAAGGTGTACTGACCGAGCCACCCACACGCGTTGGTGGACATGGCCAGTCACACAGAGAATGGCGTGCTGGTGGTCAGTAAGCAGCATGTGCACCTGAGACTGCTGGGAACCACCACTTTGTGCAGCAGCGTGCATGTCCACCCCCCCTCTGTGGGCTGAGTGGTACATGAAGGGATTAGATTCTCATTAGAAGAATTAAATCTTACATTGTTCTACCCAACGTACAGATTTATGTAACTACAAGCTTATTCTTAGTCTCATGTGGACAGGGAATGGTGGCTGTTCCATTCTGCCTGTCATTCAATGCCTGCCTGCACCGCCGGAAGAAACCAGAGGTGTTGGTATAAAGGGGTCATATCCATGTTAACACTGCCAGGCTGAATCTGGCCTTGCTTTTCATGTTCACTTGTCACATGCATTTCAGACAGTAAGTGTTTGAAAGAGCAAAGCTTCTTAATGATTACCTAATCTTTAGCATTTTCAAAGGATTTCCCCCAACTAACATCTACCCAAATCTGTGGCTGTGCTATAGGTATGGACTTTTTGTGTGAGGTGATGCTAGTTCCTCATTTAACTAAATGTTAAATACAAAGTAATTGGCATGGATGGATATTTCCTTTTTCATTGGTTGGTGCATTTCCCACTTTGGAAATGTATGGGATACTATATACTAATAAACATTTAATCTCGTATGCTATGAAACTTATGAAATCTTAAAAAATTAAAGTATTTTTACCAGCCTTGTGCATCCTGCTCTGAGTGCAAGGGCAGGCAGGAGCAGGAGCAGTGGTGGGGGTACAGGACTTAGCACAACACACTCTGGATGTGAGTAGCAGAGCCCTGTGGGGTCCCTGCTTTCACCCACATTCCCATGGCAGGAAGTGTGTCTGACAGATTGTGGTTTTCTGTGGGTGTGCATTGTTGGCAGAGTGTGGCTTTCTCTGTGCAGTGACACCGCCTCTCTTGCAGCACATCTGCAGCCAGCAGTCGGTGTTCTTTGTCTGGGAACTGACGTGGACACGAGAGCCTCCCCCTCCACTGAGCGGCCGGTTCTCCATGGAATTCCGCCCAGCTTCTGAAGAACGGCTGTCAATCTCCTTAAAGCCCTATACTTATGAATTTCAAGTGGAGAACTTTTTTGTATGTATTATGTTACTTTTTTGGTGAGATGTGGGGTGGGATAATGAGAAGTCATGTATTCTTTATCATCTAGAAAAATTAGACAAGATCTTTTAATATAATGAAGCAACAGATGAAAGAAAATAGTTAATGCTTAGGGTAGTTAATCACTGACTGACTGTATTTGATCCCAGGTTTTTTTCAGGTGACATGATACACGTGCACTATTGCAGGCGGCTCTAAAGTGAGTGTTTATAAACATAAAGACCAAAACCTTACTGCTACTCGCTTCTCCTCCTTAGTTGACTTTAGTAGAATCCTTTCATCTTGATCATTAGCTACTATTCAGGGCGGTTGTGTTATAAAGGCATGTCTCTAGCTTTCTAAAAGAAAAAGTGTAAATGTCATAGAAGTTTACTTAAGTAAGGAAGATTTTTTTTTATAGCCTGCACATGAAGCTTAAAGTAGCCTTGAGCTAGGTGAGTAGCTGGTTTTTGTTTCTTTAGTGAAATTACTGGATTTTGTGTTAGCTAAATGAAAATACAGTTGACACTGAACAACTCGGGGGATTAGGGATACCCATCTCCTCTCAGTCGAAAGTCCACATATAACTTTTTTTTTTTATTGATTAAGGTATTACATATGTGTCCTTATCCCTCACGTTGCCCCTCCAGCCCCCCACACACTTATAACTTTTGATTCCCCCAGAATTTATCTACCATTAGCCTACTGTTGGCCAGAAGCCTTACTGATAACATAAACAGACTACTGACACATATTTGTATGTTATGTGTTATATATTGTACTCTTACAAAAAAAGTTAGAGGAAAAAAGTGCTATTTAAAAAATCATAAGCTCGAGAAAATACATTTACAGTATTTACTTAAAAAAATCTGTGTATAAGCATTCTTATGCAGCTCAAAACTGTATTTTTCAAGGCTCAACAATTTTGTGGTATTTCATTTTCTTTTCTTTATTACTGAAATTGTCAACACTTTGAGAAGTGTTTTGCTGACAGCTCTTGATTAGCAATCTTTTCAATATCTCCTTTCAACCAAAAGACTATTAGTTTGGACCCTCTACCTTATTTAACTTTTGATATTAGCTATTGAGATCATTAGCATAGTTATCTTTTTGTAGTACTAACAGGTGCCTTTTTGATGTATTAATAGCAGCTGAACATTAAGTCATTCACATAGTAGAGGGTCTGCAGAAATTACATCTGGTTTGCTTATACATATGATTATTAACTGGTTAGCAGTTTTCTTTCTTTTTTTAAAAAATATATTTTATTGATTTTTTATGGAGAGGAAGGGAGAGATAGAGAGCTAGAAACGTCGATGAGAAAGAAATATCGACCAGCTGCCTCCTGCACATCCCCCACCAGGGATGTGCCCATAACCAATGTACATGCCCCTGATCGGAATCGAACCTGGGACCTTTCAGTCCGCAGACCGACGCTCTACCACTGAGCCAAACCAGTTTCGGCTGGTTAGCAGTTTTCACTGGTACTTAATCTTTTTTGCTTCCTCTTCAAATGATGAATATATAATAGAAAATTTTTCCTTTAGAACTGTACAGGCTGATTAAAAAGCCAGAGAAACAATCTGGTAGATTGTTCTTTTCACAACTGAGGACCAGATATATGGATACCACCTTTTTTTAAAGGCTTTATTGAGATATGATTAATAAGCCATGAAGTTCACTCATTTAAAGGGTACAGTTTAATTATCGTGGTATGTTGACAGTGGGCAGCCATTACCATTACCTTGTTGTGGAATGCTTTCATCATTCAAAAAGAAGCCATGTGCCTCATTAACAGTCACTCCCCATTCCATCCTCTTCTCAACTCCTGGCAGTCACGACCTAGAGGCCACGCTGTCTATGAGTTTGTCTATTCTGAATAGTTCATGTAAATGGGATCATATTGTGTATGATTTTTGTGTGTATGGTCTTTTTGTGCCTAGTTTTCTTCACTTGGAATGGTGTTCCCGAGGTTTATTCATTTTGTAGCAGGATCAGAACTTCATTCCTTTTTATGGCTGAATAATATTCTGGTGTGGATAGACCACATTTGATTTTTCAGTTATCAAAGAGACATCACTTTACATTCCCACTGGCAACATACGAGGGTTGCAATCTCCACCTCTGTACCAACACTTGTTTTTGTTGTTATTTTTATTAGAACCATCCCAGTGGGTGTGAAGTGGTATCTCGTGGTATTGATTTGCATTTCCCTGATGGCTAGTGATGTTGAGCATCTTTCATGTGCTTATTGGCCATTTATATATCTTCTTTGGAGAAATGTCTACTCAAGTCCTTTGCCCACTTTTTATAAGGTTGTCTTTTTATTGCTGAGTTATAAGTGTTCTTTATGTAGTTTAGATATCAGTCCCTTATCAGATATGATTTGCAAGTATTTTCTCTCATTTTATGGGTTGTATTTTCACTTTCTTGATGGTGTTCTTTGAAACACAAATCTTTACTTTTTATGAATTCCAATTTACTAATCTCTTATTTTTTGTACTTTTGGTCTAGAATCTCAGAAATCATTGTTTATTCCAAGGTAAAAAATATTTCCTTCATGTTTTCTTCTAAGAGTTTTATAGTTTTAGCTCTTACATGTAGGTCTGTGATCTGTTTTGAGTGAGCCTTTGTATTTGGTGATAGGTAGGGGTCCAAATTCATTCTTTCCATGTGGTTATTCAGGCGTCCCAATACCATTTGTTGGAAACTATTCTTTCCCCATTGGATGGTCTTGACACCCTTGTTGAAAATCAGTTGGCCATAAATAAATAGTTCTAAATATTTCTCACACTGTCCCTAAAGCCTCAGCATTTGCTGTCAGGTTTGGGAGGCACTGCACTGTTAGATTATGTCCTGTGCTTTCCCTCGGCTGCTGTCCTGCGTTTCACATGCAGCCAAAAGTGATACTCAGGGACACACACTTGGGAGCACAAGCACCTTCATCGGTCTGTAGTTGTGCTTCCTTCCAAGCTCTGAACACAAGTCACATCCCACCTCAGCTGCACTCAGACAGTCCGACTGTGAGCAGATTTCTCAGGCAGCTCTGCCGTGGTGCCATCCTTCCCTGCACAGTGTTCCTCCATCTCCTGCCCCTGCTATTTTCCCCAGTCCACAGACGTGTGTCTCCTTGCCCCTCCAAGGGCTTGTGTGCATTTGTACCTGCAAATGCAGGCATCTTTTACGTTCAGTTAAAGAGTTGCATAAACTTCCAGCGCAGCCCTCTTCCAATGGGTACAAGTCTGTCCTGTCCCCAAACAGCCATGATTGGGTATTTGATAGGGAAACAAATCGCTCATCGAGGCCCATCAGGGTTACTGCGCAGCCTTATTAGCTCCCAGAAAAATGTGAAATCTTCTTGGAACATTTTATAACAACAACAGAACACTTTAAATCGAGTTATACTCTAATTAATTACTTTACATATCTGTTATGACTTCATTAAATTAACACTTAGTAAGTGGAGCACAGGTAGCTGGATGGTGGGCTGTGGTTCAGCAGTAGGCCTCAAGGGGTATTGAAATAGAGTTTATTAGTCACAGGTCCTGGAGGAGGTCCCCTACACGCCTGGAGGGGCCACACCGGGAGGTCAGGGCAGAGTGCACATAGGGAGCAGGGCCTGGGGCTCAGTCGTGTCTTTATTAGGGTCTGTGAGTGGAGTGCTTTGAGGTTCTTGGACTAAGACTGGATTTGTCAATTCCAACCCTAGAGCTCTTACTAAGGGGCTCATAGGGTAAGGCGCTGGGAGGCAGGGGAGACTGTTGATCTCAGGTACTGGAGAGACTGTATCAGGATATGCATTTGCTTTTGACTCTCTGGGCTGTTATCTAGGGCAGCAGTCACCAACCAGCGGTCTGCGGATCACTGGTAGTCCATGAGGTCCAAAAGGTTGGTGACCGCTGGTCTAGGGTGTGGCTTGCACGACGGGTCAGTGTTAGTTTGGGCCCCGCTGGGCCAACACGGAGCAGCTGAGCTACACTCAATGGTGTCCTGAAAGAAGGAGCTCACCTTCCTAAGTGCAGCCTGCAGCGTGCGGCAGGCGGGCACTGTCCCCTGCAGGCTTCGGGTCTTTGTCCTGGTGGCAAGCAAATGTTGGGTGAGTGTGAATAAGTATGAATATCAGATAAACATGTCACGGAGAAGGAAGCATTTTGGAGAAAGCTGGTTATGGACTTGATATCTGGTAATTCTAAGGAATTAATGTTAAACTTGCTAGTTGTTATAATGGCATTATGTTTTGGTAAGAAAATGCCCATGTGTTTAGTATAACACACTGAAGCATACACAGGTAAAAACAACAAATTGTCTGAAATTTGCTAAAAATACCCCAGGCGAGCTTTTCCCTGCTGATAGTGCTCTCACAAACATGGTGAGCGTTCCTAAAACCCACGGATGTTGTGTAAGTGTGGCAAGCATCAACCCCACCAAAGTAACAGTGCAAGAGGGGCACCGATTCTCTGTGGGCACAGGGGAAGTGGTGTTATGACAGGAACTAAGCTGATTTTTCAGGGGAAAAAGGCTAAAACTACAAAGAAGATTGTGCCGAGGCTTGACTGTGCTGTGCCCAACTGCAGATCTAAGAGAATGCTGGCTATTAGGAGATGCCAGCATTCTGAACTGGGAAGAGATAAGAGAAAAGGTCAAGTGATCCAGTTCTAAGCTTCATTTTTTTTTTTTTTGTGACAATAAAATCTTGATATGTTCACTTAAAAAACCACAAAAAACACCAGTGTAGGTAGATAGATGAGGAAGCAAACGAACGCCGTGTTGATAATCTGGAGTGTGGGTGACGGCTCAGAGCCACTGCACTGTGCTGTGTGCGTGCTCGAGCGGGGTCAGCATGCGGTGAAGCAAGGCCTCCCAAGGGCATCGAGTCGTTCAGGGCGAGCGCAGCTGCTCTGCCCGCAGGTGGCACGGCGCTGGGCAGGCGTCTCCTCCGTCGTCCTCCGAGTCTGGGGCAGCACCTTGTCTGCCTCACAGTGTTTCTTCAGGTTTGTCTTCAGTGTTACACACCTTGTCCTTTTCTCCCCTCGCCAGACCTTATACACCGTGAAAGCTGAGATTGTGCCGCCCGCGGGGACGGAGCTCTGTAGGACAGGCTCGCTCTGCGCCCTGGAGGTGTCCATCACGCGCCTCTCGGACCTCCTGGAAGTGGACAGGGATGAAGCCCTGACAGAATCCGAGGAGTACTTTTCCACCAAGCTGATGTACGAAGGTAGGTTCAGAGGCTTCTCCCTTCCTAACTTGTGCTGCTCCAGTGTGTCCTCTCTCACAGAGCGCAGTGTTCCTTGTCCAAAGAGAACCGTCTGGAATTGAGTGTTTTATAGAGTGGTCCTACGCTCGCAGGAAGTTGAACTTGGTTATTATGGAGTCTTCTCTAACAGGTGTTAGCCAGCAGTTGTTAGGCGAAGAACTGAGCACATGGTAGCACTTGGAGCTGCCTTTCCTTTCTGCTGTGATTCGGGGTCTTCACAGAGTCTGAACTCCGTTGCTCAGCAGCTCAGGTGTCCTGTGGTCATGGCTCCTGCCCTTTCCCTCCAGCTCCTTTCATCACATTCTCATGCTTCTCCATCTCCACTGTGACCCCACAGTGACCCCCTGGCCCAGGCCCCTGCTCCATCGCTGGTTGCTTGGACATTTCTTCCCAGCCCTCCTCCTCAGCTCTCAGGAGCAGGTCTCAGTTTTTGGTGTCAGAACCCTTTATTCTCTAAAAAATTATTGAGGAGCCAAATATTTACTTATTTACTTAAAACAATAGAAATGTTTTCCAAAACAACAAAAACTAGCAAGAAAAAGAACATTGTTTTTGCATTTTTCAAATCTCTTTAATTTCCAGCTCCTGGCGGTAACTTGAGTTCTCCTGTGTGCTGCATTCGGTCTGCAGTAATCATAGCGGTCCCAGTACATGAAGAAACTCATCTCACACCCCTATGTAGCTGGAATCAGGAGGAATATTTTCACAGCTTTCAGATAACTATAGATATTCTTTGCTACTACACCAAAACTGGGCAAGTGCCTGTTTTTACAGGCTAGGTACTATGTGAAGTCTGAGATCACACGAATGCCCCTTTCGTACTGGATTTCATGAAATCCTTTATCTGTCTTGCAGATAAAGGCGTCACTTTATTGCACCATGCATTGGTCATTGGGGCACCATGGTTCCTGGTTATATAGTTCTTAATGTTGGCATCTTTCATTCACCCTCTCAAATTCACATTGTTTCAAGCTCACACTGAACTCATCAGGATGGTCTGATTATAGGGACATCGTCAAGCTTACCATGGCAAGTGCAAGTTTTCCAAAATTCTAATTTTTGATGAGACTTGTATCATTGGCCACTTCTTTAAAGTGGCATGCCCATGTCATTCAATTGGAAGAAAATGTCTGCAAAAAACCAAAACTGAGTAGCCACAGCTGGCGAAGTCGAGGCGAGCTCGGCTGTCTGGCGCCCTGCGCTGTGCAGATGCCCGGGTGCTACATCACAGGAGACAGCGAGGCTGGGGAGGTAGGTGGTGGGCACACAGGCCTCTCTGTTTGCAGCTTCTTGCGCGTCAATAATCATTTCACAGCGTTAGGACAGGAATGTGAAAATGGCTTTGACCTGCCCTGAGGACCAACTCTGGGAAATGCTGCTCCATGTGTCCCTCTGGATGCTGTATGTCCTTGGCACCACTCTGCATGTCCTTGGCACCACTCATCTTCAGAGGTTTCCCCATCTGCAGGAAGCCCTCCTCTGCAATCCCTTCTTTGCTGCTCACACACTCCTAGGCTCCTGCTTGATTCCCTGTGACCCAGATGCTCTGACTTCTTTGCAGGGCCATCTGCTTCCTGAGGACAATGATGCTGTCCTACAGACTTTAGTGACGGCTCAGTTAGGTGTTTGACTTGCTCTGGATTATACACAGCTGTGTTATTAGTATTAATAATAACACCTACCATGTGTTAGACTCTGAGCGGCAGCTGGGATTTAGCCTCTCTGCTCTGATGCCACCTGTTAGAAGATGCCACCTTGGTCCCGTCCCCATTCTTCACTTAGCAGCCAGGCAGCCATGCTCCCGAAGTATCACACAGGTTGTGTGGTGATTTCCATCAGAATTGAGTCCCTGTTTGTTTATTGATGAGAGGAGTGATTTCCCTGGGCATCACCATGTGTCCTGGTTACTCCACTGTGTGTGTCTGATTGGAACGTGCAGTCACAAGACATGGAGACAGAGGTGTGCCCCAGTTTGGGATTTTATGCTGAGTGTGAGACTGTTGTTGCTTTTGTTTTGTATGAATATGCATCCCTTTTCTGGGTTAAGACAGTGTTTCCCTCTCTGTTTCAGTGGTCGACAACAGTAGCAACTGGGCAGTGTGTGGGAAAAGTTCTGGCGTCATCTCCATGCCTGTGGTCGCTCAGGCAACACACAGAGTCCACATGGAGGTGATGCCCCTGTTTGCGGGTTACCTGCCCCTTCCCGACGTCAGGCTCTTTAAGTACCTCCCACATCACTCTGCGCACTCCTCACAACTGGATGCTGGTAAGGACGCTGGTGCGGGGAGCAGGCCTGCTGATCACAGCATGTTCTCTGGGCCAGTGGAACCTAAAACCCACACCTGCTCAGGGGAACAAGCCTGAGGCAGCTGCCCTGGAGCTCGATCCTTTGAGGGCTTGTGTGCTAGCTTCCTGTACGGGGTTGCCTGAGTTAACGTGCTGCTGCACTGAAGGTTGTCTTGGGAGGCTTACTACTCCCCGTGGTGGTAAAGGGTCTGCGGCCATGTGGCCTGCATCTCACTTCCTGTGTGTTTTGCAGACAGCTGGATAGAAAACGACAGCCTGTCGGTGGACAAGCACGTGGATGACCAGCTGGACAGCAGCAGCATCAAGAGCAGGGGCAGCGTGCACTCGGCCTCCAGCAGTGAGCATAAAGGCTTGCCTATGCCCCGGCTGCAGGCGCTGCCGCCCGGTCAGGTCTTCAACTCTAGCACGGGCATGCAGATCTTGGTCATCCCCAGCAAAGATGACCATGTTCTGGAAGTCAGTGTCACATGACCACTCCTCCAGTTACCGCGCCCAGACCCAGCGTGAATGCACTCCAAGGGATCCTATCCATTGTTCTCCATTGTCACTCTAGCTCTAACCAGATCTGGGGACTCTGCCTGGCCATGGAAGCATCACGGTGTCTCTGTGTGCAGCCTGTCAGCTGAGTCCAACATTAAGTTTGTGTTGTCAGTGGTGTAATATTACTTGCTCCTTTCTCATCTCCCGGTTCCTGTGCTGGTGTCCCCCAGGGCTGGCCCAGAGCCCACTTTCTTATCCCTCACTCCCTGCTCATGAACGCTCTGCCTAGGGGTCTTTCCCCCAGACAACCTTCTGGTTCTTTTTTTTTCTCTTCCTCTGGTTCTTTATGGAGGTCTGTGTGTCCTCCAGGGAGGCACAAACAGGCATTGCAGTCTTACCAGTAACACGTGTGTGCCTTTCTGGTCACACAGCCGCCCAATTTCTGGACCAGGTGGATTAGTCAGTCTCCTAAGGAGTAACACAGTCCTTTACCTCAGCTCATCTAGTTGTTCTTTTCTAGAAAAATACCCTTTTAGGGCAGGTGGGTGGGCTAACGGGTGGGGTGGGGAGGGAACAACCCCTTCTGTGCCTTGGGATGTCAAACTGGGCGGACCTGGAGCACCCATCACTGGAGCCATTTTAATGGTACTTTAAGATAGGGCAGGGCCTAAGGAACAGTTCAGTGTTGAAGCAGTTTAGGAATAAATGTTTCTGGGACTCTCCCTCATAATGTTGATTGAATATTATATGCACTTGAAATTAAAAATATATTTATTTTAATTGTCATATGTGAGGGTTACTATGTTGTGTTTTCTCTCACCTTGAAACTTAAAGTCTTTACATCTAATTGTAACTGTAAAATCAATATTTTTCTTTTGCACCTTAAATCTTAGAAATTTAGAGGTTCCATTAAGTGAAGATTAGAGGGGTCCTCTCAGTGCATTTCTAGTCTGGTTGTAGGAGGGACGAAAGTCTTGGCATATTCTCTGCTGGTCCACTAAATTGCAGTTCTATCATACCAATAGATTAATTTGCTTTTGGTTGTAAATTTAATTGTACATATGGTTGATTTATTTTTAAAAGTACAAATTAACTGATGTAATGTTTATGTATAAGTTGCACCAAAAATCAAGGACAGAATAAATGCGTGTTTGTTTTTATTGGTGTGAAAGTCACAGCTTGTAAATAAGTGTTGTATGTATTAAACCTTTTCCAGCTCTCCAAAGCAATGTATTTTTGTACATATGGAATAGAGAACTCTTAATTCACTAAGAAAGTGTGATTGGAATTATAACTTGAACAAATTAATGCAAGTGAGGGTGGGGCTTCATGTGAATAACCTCAAATGTGTAAGCCTTACAGAAATAGGAGCCTCCTGCAGCTGCTACTAGCTGGGCTTGTCACCTGCTTGAGAGAGGCTGGTGGCACAGGGGTAAAAGGTCAGATCGGTACATATACAACAGAGCCGTCGCCACTGTTCTTCTGTAGGTTGTCTGTAACTCATTCAACAAATAAAGGTGGTGTCATTTCTCCCCCATGTCTTTTTCGTTTATGGAAATTGAGAGAAGTGTGTGAAGAAGATAACTGTGTGTTTAATTAAACTTTCCAGAAATTTATCTTCCTTATGAGCCATTTAAAACAAATAAACTTAGTCACCTATTTAGGCAAATTAGAACTTCAGCATCTAATGATGGTTTAGGGTTTCTAAAATACATTTGTTTTATTGTAAAAATTGATGACTGCCCTACAAAGATCTACCAGGCCCTGTGAATGAAGAGATCTTTAGAGATGTGATTTGGCCAGAAAAGCTCTAATCCTCGTGGTCAGCCTTGGAGCCCAGGGGACAAATCCGTGTGTAAATTTCCCCCTTCCTTCTGGAAGGGGCAATGTGATTTAATGATAACCTTATTTCTCTTTGTGTCTGGGCTCTAATCCCAGGATGACATTCTCTAATTATAGAGAGGGGGGAAATGAAGGGAAAACGGGGAAATCCAAACGTTTATGAAGGTTTCTTACTGAAAATTTAAGGAAATCAAATTTATCTCAGGTGTTTTTTTTTACCCTAACCAAAAGATCTTTTGCAATATAAGTTACATGAATGCCTCTGTTTATTAAATTTTATTTTTGTTTTTACACAAAAGAAGAATGTCACCTAAAACTTTATCTCTTTTTTTTTTTATAAACTAAAAGGCTGTACTTGGATTTTTGTGGTGTTTAAAATAAAATAAGGCTTATGGGTTTGAGACAAGCTGGTTTAGTTGATAAAGATGTAGCAGCTGTTAAATAATTATGGAAGCCAGATTTAGAATATGCATCTTAAAAAAAACAATATGCAGCTACTTTGCAAATATGTGTGGAAATGTAAATATTAACAAAGGAACAGAAAGTAAGTTATAATTTTAGTGAATTTCATAGGGTCTCCTATGATTGGAAAGATTATAACTCTTCTGTTTCTAATGTGAAAATAGATGTATTTAATCTGAAAATGACTTCTACCTACAGTTCCATTGTCGGCACAGGCTGTAGTGGCTTGGATTCCTAAATTAGTAAGTCTTAGTTGATGAGGAAAGATATCCCATAAAGAGTCAGTAGAGGAAATACACACAGACTTCTATTCAAATTTTCTTTAGTGTTTAAAATAAGATTGTTATAAAATGAATTTAAACACTCCAGGTGTGTATATAAAATGAAACGTTAAATTTTTTTATTAAAGAATTAGGCTGACATAAATGTTTCACTGTTAACTGTGATTTAAAAATAAATCCTACGTGATTTTAAAATTTGATTTTTTCATGAAAATGTCCCTTTCTCTAAATTTATACACCAAGTTATAAAACTAGAAGGCATTGTTAATCAAATTTGCTGGAATTCTGTGACTGGAAAAGGTGACAAGTTGGTGACTTTGACACTGCAGGTATTAATTCCATTTTCAAAGTTTACTATGAAAGTCATTTTTCACATTATTCTGTAATATATTGTTAGACTAAAACCATTGTATTAAGACTGTTTAAAATGTAAGCATTTTAAACTCTGAAAAATACACATTTTAAAAAGAAACTGATTTGCATGTTGTTCTTTTGCTATGGGATGTGAAAATTGAGTGTACGAAGTTTTCTTGTTTTTTCTCCCTGACCTTTGTTTCTGACTCCAAGCGTAGATTATTCGCGTTGGGAGAGCATTAAGGATTTTTTTTTTTTCATAACTTATTACCCTGTAGCTCGCAAGAACCAAGACAATTGAGTTTCAAAGGTTTCAGTTTTGAAGTCATATTTGCCAACCTATCATTTGACAAGGTTACTGTCTCTGTGATGTTCACTAATAGTTTTTTTTTTTCCCCCCGAAAAGTGTGGTTTTCAACTTATTCAGAATCTTGTTCCTTTTGGTTCTCCTTTGATAATCCAAAGCTATTAAGTAAGCGCGAGGTCAGATCTTCTCACTTTCCTTAGTGCAGGAAGGGTTCCTCTGGCCAGCGGGGACCAGCCCCAAGCCCGCGAAGATCAAATCCTCCCGAATGCGGCGGTCCTGCGCAGGCGCGCGACTCCAGGCTGGCAGGGGCGGGGCCCGAGGGCTGAGGCTCCGCCTATGGGTGGAGTTTAGGGCGGGGACTCGGCTTCAGGCGGCGCTGCACCTCCGGGCCGCCGGGGGCGCTGTGGCGCGGGGCCGCGGTCCGGCCCGGAACTTGTCGCCAGCTGGCGAGCGGGGCAACGAGACTGGCGGCACACGTGTGGCGGCCGCGATGAAGTTCGCGTACCGGGTGAGCAGGGGGAGCGGAGGCGGGGGTGTCGGTGCTAGAGCCCCGCGGCGGGGGAGCCAGCGGTCCAGGCCGGGGCGGGCTCGGCGTCCGGCAGCACTGTCTCCGGCGAGGCCCGAGGGAGTCGGGCCGCGGGGGCTCCGAGCGCCGCAGCGGCCTGGACCCGGGAGGAAGGCGGGCCGGGCCGGGCCGTAGGCGGCGATGTGGGCGGGTAGGCCGGCCCGGAGGTGAAGTCCCGGTGGCCAGAGCCCCGTTGACGGGGAGGGGTTGGGCGCTGACGTCCATGACCTGTGCCGAGCCCACCCCCGTCACTCTGGTCCGCTTGCTCCGCGGCTCAGGACCACTGACCCAGTGCCGACCCGCTGGTCCCATGTTTACTTGTGACAAGGAAAGGAGGCAGGTTGCTGATAGACCTGTCAATCACATGTTGCTATCTTCTTTACAATTAGCTACTAGTAAACTAACCCGTTGCGGTTCTGGTATAGCTCAAGTGCAGAATACTGTGCCACATGTTAGCATGTATCAAGAGGAGCGCTTCGTAAGAACCGCCCAGACATTAAGACCCTTGTCTTACCCAGCACTCCTCGGTGACCCAGATCCGAGGGGCTTCGCTGCCCTTCTCCCTCCCATATCCGGACGACATGCAGGGCCTCTCCGTTCCTGGCATTGCCTCCCTGGTTGGGACACCCCACCTTCTGTGTGGAGTCCCACAGAAGCCCAAGTGGCTTCCCTGTTTCCCCTCTTGCCTCCATGGTCATTGGCGTGGTTGTTAAAAAGTAGGAATTGGATCACAACATGCCTCTGCTTAAAATCTTGGGTGATCAGGCTCTCAGGGGCTCCCTGAGGTTCTCGGCCCTGCAGGCTTATAGCTCCCAGTGCTGCTTGGCTGGTCTTCGTCCAGCTTCCAGCCCAGGAGTCCCTACCTGAAATGCCTCTGCCTCTCCCTCTGCTGGGGTTTGCTGTCTGCACCTCGCTCCGCGTGCTCTAATGGTCTCCTTGGCCCTGCCCGCTGCACACAGACCGTGAGGGCATTGAGGGTGGAGGCCCTGTGCACAGAGACAACTCCAGGGGACTCTCACATGTGGTTGAATAAATTAATGAATTAATAAATAGGATGTTGGCAGGCTCCTTCTGTGTTCAGGAAGCCTTGAGCCCAGAGTGCACGTGGGGTGGGTGCAGCTTTTCTCCTAAAAGTGGGCCCTGTTCTCTCTTTCTGGCAAATACCTCCTGTCTGTAGGGG